ATTCTATACGATTTCGTGATTTGGTGCAATGATCGACAAACTGATAATCCCGTGTTAAGTGATACCACCAAACGATACCTCACAGGTTTGCGAATGTGGCATTGCCTCCACAGCGCAAAATTTCCAGAGATTGACTCCGATAGACTAAGAATTATACTGAAAGCTTCGAAGAAATGTCAAACGAGCATTGTACGGCTTCATCGGTCCGGCCTGACATTACCAGACCTCGATTACCTCATCAGAAAATTACCCGGACCATCACTACCAAATACCACTCTCAGAGCGCTGCTTTTAGTAGGTTTTTGGGGGTTAGCCCGACTAGGCGAGCTCACCAGACATGATGATCACCCCGATATTTACATTCGACGGAAAGACGTTAGGTTCTCGTCCGATGACTCATCTGCCATCATTCGGTTACGCCTCGCGAAAACAGCCGCACCCGGTGAACTACAGTTCCTACGCCTTACCAAACAACCTAATCGGCTAGACCCGATTGCCGCCTTACGTCAACTACTACGAAGTTCTCCGGGTTCGGCTCACGAACCACTGTTTCGTGGAATTCTGGCGAACGAACCTATAAGAAGGGAAACGGTACTCGCAGTCTTAAAATTCCATGAGCCAATGGGTTGTCGTTGGACAGGACATAGTTTAAGGATCGGAGGCGCGTCATTGAGAGCTAATTTAGGTTGTTCATTGTCATCCTTGAGACACATTGGGAGGTGGAAGTCCTCATCATACAAGAGATACGTAAGGAAGTACTCCGTTAAGTTGTTACAGGAAACGCAGAGATTGGCTAGGACTTTGCACAGGAGATGACCGCTTGTACTATTTAACATGACGTGAAATATGATTCAGATAACTATTGGCACCTACGCGTTCCACATGACTTTGTGCCCCTTGAGATTGGGAAGTGGGAGATATCTCCACGGTGCTTGTCTCTACGAGGACGGGTTTCGAGTCCCTTTGCAGGGACTCGGCTCTCCAAGCCTTCGCTCCCTGTGAGCGGGTTCAAAAGGACCCTTACCCGTCCCCGTAGTGACTGTTCTCAACCAGAGATCATGACAGACGTCTGATCACGATCAGGTTGAGAACTTTAGGTTCCTCCCACAGCACGCTGATCTCACTCTTGAAGTACCAAGAGCAAGATCAGCTATGCACGCCTTTTACCTAAAGGTAGTCACTTACCTTTAACCTCAGAGACGCTCTGAGGTACCTATCCCTTGAAGGGAGAAAAAACATGGATCCAGAATCTTCTGAGGAAAGAATTGTAAACAAAATCTTAAACAAAGTTGATGGTGATGTCAGAACTGCAATCAAAAGTCAATTGACCACACCCTATGAATGGGATAATTTCTTACTAATATTCAAGGACATTTATGAGAATACAAGTATAATTAATAAGAAAAAGTACTTGAACAGGCCAAGGAAACCTTTTAGTGAAATTAAAGCTACTTTCAATAGTGACAGAATGCAAGGTCCCTCTAGTACAAAGGTTCAGCCAAGTACGTTGGAGAAGAAACCTTTGAGAGCATGCCCAAATTGTGGAAACAAAGATCCAAAACATCAATGGAGAGGATGTAAAGATAAAAAGATTAATATGATTGAAGAAGATGAAGAAGATAGTGATCATATGAATGATGAGTATGAATTTCAAGGCGGAAAATTATCAGATGAATCAACTTCAGATAGTGAAGGAGAAAATATTCATCAGCAACAAGATGTGTGCATGATTGAGACTCTTGAAAATGATGAGAAAGACATCAACATACTGCAAGCAGAAGCAAATGTACCTCATTCCTGGCAGGATGACATGCAAATGGGAAACACAATTGATGCCAGATTGCTAAAATCCAAACCAGCGGATGGAATGGCACATACACTAGGACACCATACAATGGCTCGAGCATTAGTAAATAATTGTAAAGTACCAATGCTACTAGACAGTGGAGCATCATGCTCAATTGTAGGAAAACATTTTTTGTCTGAAATAATACCAGACTGGCAAGAGAGAATCATGCCCAGTAGTCACGTAAAATTCTCCGGAGTTGGTAGTAAACTGCACTAGCATTTTGGTGGCGGCGGGCGCCGCACTGGAAATTCTGAGTTTGGTGTAGCTTAATTTATAACATCATTTGTTTCAGGAACCAAAATTGTATACCTTGGAATAGATGAAGGCCAATCTATATGGTGCACCTGATCTGATATCAAGCTTGCGATTTGAATGTTGTCGTACACTGTGCAGCTGTCTTATCGAAAAAGATAAGCCATAAAAAGGAAGAAGTGATTCCCAGTGAGATGAACAGGGAGAAGATGGCTCTATAGTTGCTTCTATACAATGTTGATACATGTGCATTCCAAGCTTGTATACAAAAGTAGATATGGGTACATCATGACCACCAATAGCCACCAATTCATCATCCAGTCTTTTTTGAGTGAGATTGAAATGAGGGTACAGCCGCATTTGTAATTGATGAACACTGACAAAGAACTTTTCAAATAATCTCAACAAACCTGTGTGCCTCTATGTGATTAATGATCTTTGCCGTACCTCTATTGAGAATTTGCTGTGATTATTCGAAAGAAATTAATGTTCATCCATTATGAATACAGCTGTACAAAAACAAATAAAGATTTGATATGTTTTCAATTGGATTGATTTCAGTAGCCTTGGTGTATGCTGATGCCTGCTTTGCATCCAGGCCACCTAAGATGCCATGATTCACATGCTGATAAATGAATAAGTTGCTTGCAAAATTCATTCAATCTGGATGAGAATAAGAATAAGTTCAAGAAAGTTTGATATAGAGCATGAGGCACATTACCTAATGATGTTATTCATTTTTTTAGCCCTCTGACCCTGCTTTTGTGTCTTCTAATAAACTCTGATTTCATTTCACTTTCGGTTGGATTTCAACTTGAACTCTACAGTTGCAGTGTTGCAGGCTGATTCTTTTCCAATCTTGGTCAGATATCAGATATGACTTTCATGTTTCATTGAAAATCATGAAGTCAGCAAAAGGGACAGGATCAAATGATAAAATAAATAAAACCCCTGGATGTGTGGATTACCTGGATGAAAAACAGTCAGTTAGGTCTATCATAACCTCTCAGGTCACTGATCTATTGAATATTTCCAGGCAATGAGCTATATGCTATTGGAAAACAGATCCAACCAAAGTATGTTGTGTTTATGTATTCCTCAAGTAAAACACTACATGGTATTGAACTTATCATGTAACAATGTAATCAAGTGGATTACACTAATCCATCTCTAAGACAGATTGTTCAATCTTTTTGGTTTGCTTCAATAGCAAGTCAATTTGCTCCATTGTATCTTGTTTGGAGATTTTTGCACAGTTTGGAGTGGGTTGATTTTGTACAATCATTTATTGAATTTTTTTTGATGATATTGCTGGATAATATTGGTAGTTTTTGTCATGTAGTGGAGCTATTCACAAGTACAAATTCAAAAAGTGACTATCATCTTGCATTATAAAGTTTGAGATTTATGTGAATAATTAAGCTGTCTGAGATCAACATGGGAAAGGGGAGAAATCAAAAATGGCAAGTTATTTTACTGAAAAAGATGAGAGTGATACAGGAAAAAATCCACACAATGTCTCAACAAACCCAAAATGAATTGAAATTGAAGCCTTGTTTGAATCTATAGAATTCAATCAAGATGTGATGAAAGATTCTCAAATCTTAGAGTATCTCACCTTTGCCTTTTGACTGTTGGGACAAAATATATGCAAGACTTCTATTCAATTGTGGGTAGCTGAATGTGTTTTACATTCTATCTTGTACCAAAAGATTATTTATCTTTGACTAACGTACAGATCAATCAGATTTGGTTGAAAAAGGGTGAAAATTAATCAGAAGTCAATTCTATTGTCAAGATTGGGAACTTTCAGATCACTGATTTGAACTGTTTCTGAATGATGAAAAATGGGACTTTAGTCAAAGTTTGACTTGAGTTTATAAATTAGATAGCTCACAGGGTTCAGTTAGGTTTGATCAATTTTCCATGATCTCAAACCATTCTATTGCATCCATTAGATTTGTTTACATCTGGGTTTTCTCCCAATAATTGAACTATCTGTTTCTGCTTGGGTAAAATGGGCCGGTTACATGTTGATCAATGATAGTCAAGTGGATGGTCATTGGCGCAGATTTCAATCGATTTGAAATTGTCCAGAATTCACAATCTTGTTACCAGATTGAAATACGACTTGAAACTGAGTTGGTGACTCAATCATATTGAGTTGAACCATCCAAACTTTGAAATGAAGATTTTGCACTCAAATCCAAAGCAGTGTTGCTAAGCAAGTGTTGTCAGTGACAGAAAGAAATGCAGAAAACCCATTTGTCAAATCAAGTGCCACATTTTGATAGGGCAATGGGAAGTTCAATGAGAGGAAATATGTGATGTTTGAGAAAACCCGCCTTGTTTTGTTTCATCTGGGTCTTCTTGACTTGGTTCTCCAATATACGATTTGATGGTGCGTTGATGATGATAAGTTTGGTTGCCTAAAAAGATTCATTGGACTGATAGCTATCATCAAGTCCAAAGTTATCGATTACTTGAGTTCTTGATGATCTGGGGTATTCAACCGTTTGCAATTGAGTCATGAATATTTCTTCAATTTGCTTCAAGTTGAAAAAATCAAATTTGATGTGCTATAGAAAGAGTTGACCAATGAGTGGGAGTTGTTTCATATTTTCTGGAGTCAAAGCTTGATTGTATCGCTCCAGATTGCTGAATGATCCTGATGATTACTGGAGCAAACTTGAAAAAAAACAATCTTGAAATTGATAAGCTTCTCTCCGGACCTTCAGATCAATGAGATTCAAAAGGTATCAAGTTGATTAATTCAGATTTGATGTTGCTAACCAGACAATTAATGACGTAATGTGATCGGGAATCAAAATAAAACAGGCTGAACGAACAGGCAATATTCCATACCAAAGCTAGACATGAAAGGACAAAAAGCTCAAAAATGAGCTTGAGAAGAAGAGATGATCTCATAGGGAATAGGAGGATTCCTCATTTGATTGTGGCCTTTTGATCACCATTCACAGGAAATCCAAGCAAGCCAGAATCTGTTCAACTTGAAGTCATCAAAGGTCAAGTTTCCAACAAGTAACTTATTGAATCAACGTCAAAATGAATCTCTTCGAGGTGCTTCCAAAAGTTCCCTTGTCAAGACGGTGGGAAAACCTGCTCAGTCCGCTACCCAAGTCCATCAACGCTGGGTTGAAAAACTGCTGCCCAAATATCATAATTGTCATGAATCCACAAACTTTCTCGACAAACGATTTGGTGAAGGAGATTCGTCTCTAACCCTAGAAGAAAAGTCCTTGGAGAGATTTACAAAAGAACATCAGATGAGGCTTCCTGGAGGCGCTAAGAGAAATATTTTCAACCTAGACAACGACCCAATCCTGCTCAACTCCCTGAACTTCAAGAGGCCGGTTCAGCGACATCGCACGAGCAGTGTGAGCACTCTCAGCCCCATAAAGCCACTGAATCAACCAACGCGACCGCTATCGACCAAGATCGATTGAGCAAACTCCTCGGGTCTTCAAAGCGAAGTCCCTCGCCTGAAGCGAATCATGGAGATAAAGACAAAGATATGTACGATCGGTTTGTGCGCCAGTTGGCTTTCGACCCACGGACCAAGCCATCCGACCGCTTGAAGACTGCTGAGTAAGTGGCTTTAGAAGAGGCTGAGCGCTTGAGGATGTTGGAACAAAAGCGCCCCAACTTCACATGCCTATTTTCTTTCTATTGTATCACAACAGTGCGTGAAAAGTGCTGAACTACCCACTGTGGTTCAGCATATTCGAGTATTGTACCAACCCTCACTGGGAGAAGATGACAAATCCAAGCTTACCACCTTTACTAATGTCCTAATTGATCATGTAATTCATACCACATCTCTCCACAAGTAAAATGAGCTTGAGAAGAAGAGTTTGCAGTGATTGAGTCTAAACCAAGAGAAAAAAAAATCGGTCAAGAATCTCAAACAACAGCTGTGAGGTAAAATTGAGAAGATGGAGAAAACACCTTGCAAAAAAACAGTTGAAAAGAAACCACCTTGCAACAAAACAGTTGAAATCAGGCAAGTATTTGAGGCATTGTGGCATAAGTTGGTTGAATCATCCGCAGAATCGAATTGTCAGGCTGAGTGAAGCGAGTATCAATTGAGCATACGGCAGAAATTCGGAGAGCCAGCGTACTTGGTGGCCATCAATTGGTAATAGTGTGATGTTCAGCTAAGCCAAGATAGGGTGCTTCTGAAAGGCGGGTTGGGGCGGGTTGGGGCTAGTCCAAGCACCGCCAACATATTTACCTCGGATTTTGTAATCCGAGGTATCTTTTTTTTTTTTTTTTTTTTTTTTTTTTTAAAGTGTTACTTGGCTTTATTGCATACAACACTAACTAAACAAGTTAAATAAGTGAAAGACTAGTATACCTTGGAAGAGCGGCCATCTAGTCGGAGCAAGGAATGTCGTTGACTTTTCGGGCGTAATCCGAGGTATCCTCGGATGCAAAACCTCGGACAAAAGCTTCCCGAGGTTTTGATCCGAGGTTATTTCCAGGGCAAAAAAAAATACCTCAGGCAAAAACCTCGGACAAGGTCTGTCCGAGGATTTGCCTCCGATGATGCCTCGGATTTCTCAACCCGAGGCATCTATGCTGGCAGTGAAGAGGCAGGCTTGGTTAGCTTGACAATGAGGTTAGAATTTGCAGATTCACGGGTAGATGATTGCATTTGAAAATGAATCACGATGGCAAATGTGAATTGATTTGCAGTGAAGAGTTTCTGACGATGTCCAAAACTCGAAAATCACGCTAAGTGGATTTTGTCCAGGTTTGTAAGTGAACCTAGTTTACATTTAAAATTTTGAATGAGGCTATAGACGCACAGTTTGATGGTTGATTGGGTATCAAGGTAACATAAAGTGTGTCCTGATAGGTTTGGGTATCATGGTAACATAATGTGGATCCTAATGGGTTTTAGGCTGATTACGGAGATTGCTTGTATATTTTTGCCAGAGTTTTGTATTTGAAGTGCCTTTGTGGTTAAATGTAATGATATACAAGGTCTTTATTTACAAGAATTTCTATCATATCTTTTAGAGCTGAATTCCATTGACCAAGAAAATATGAGATCAACCAGCAGTCAAGGTGCCAATCGGTCAAAACATGCTAAAATTGGCTTTGGCAATCAAATAATGCAATAGGATGATCAGCCTTTTGACTCTTGACTCCCACTGTTGCCAGTTTTAGACACAAAGTGCATCCAACTTTAAAGAAGCCAAGATATGACTGGATTCAGATTTTATTTTATTTGATCAAATTAATATGAATGGTTGAGAACCAGAAACAGATTCAGCTTTTATAGCAACAAGTTGATGCGGAAACAACCAAATCTGAATAAAGTCAAATTATCATCACCATCATTCAAATGATGTAAACATTGACACCAAGTTTTTCATATCAATATCATCAACTGAGGATTGATAGTGTTGGGGCCAACATATTCATAGAGTTGGTGTTCATTTGCAGTTGTGTTGTTGTTTAGTATAAAACTCATTGTTTAACCAAGTCACATTAAGGGGTTTCAAATCAAGATATTTTTGTGTAGAATTTTTACAAAACAGACAAGTTTTTAAAGTTTTACAGTGCCTTTTTGTGTGCAAGTGTACATTAGACAGCTTTTGAGACACCTAAATAGGTGTGCTGAATTTTTGTGTTTGTGGTAAATTTTGCAGTCTTGGACAAGTGTTTGCACAGTAAAAATCCTGTAATAATGCAACTTGAAACCCCCTATTGTGTATTGTCTAAGAATCCTGCACACATCACCCACTTTTGATATCAATAGTGTTAGTTTTTACTCCAACTATGTCACTCTGATTGATTGGTGGAAGACCCCACTTTGTCAATTCACATATCCTAAGTGACCACACCTATATTTTATTTTTAAGTTGTACTATGTTGTGTTGTCATAGACTACTATTTGTGTATGTGGATTACTTCACAACTACTCCTACAATGATCAAAAAAATATGTGTTATATATGCACACCTGTACTGACCAAGAAAAAAAGTAGTGTTTTGATTTTTGAGCTGCTTGGAGAGTTTTTCAAAATCTGAAACAAAATGAATATTGATGTACTCTGATATGAAATCCATCAGGGGGTTAGGGCCTTGGGGTTAAGGCTTAGGATTAGGGGCTTAGATTTAGGGAAAGGATATTTTCACTCCACTCCTGGGGCATATGTCATCACCTCTGTTTAAACTTCCCATGATTCCTCCCAAACCGTGATCACATCACAATCAAAACTCAGAAGCATCATGGCCTCCATATTTCCTCTGCCTTCCTTCCCTTTAATGTTGTTTGACACAAGGAGGATAAGTGTAAAAATCTTTCCCAGATCAAGTTATCCATCACAAGAACAGTACACCTTTTCTTTATCATGATGACTGCAATTGGCAATCTTTTTTGACCCCAAAGTTTGAATCACAAGTTATCCAACTGGCAGTACTTATTGGTAATCTGTATTGAAAGAGCTCCATGGTGCTGCCCTGGTCAAGTCAAAAAACCCCAAAAATTATGTTTTTGCAGCTTGGAACAGGTGGAGTATGCGCAATTCAGAATTAGTGGGGTCTTTCAAGGGTCATGTTCTATAGTCTCACTTTAGATCTGCATTGACTTTTGTCAAAACATTGCTAAGTATCATACTGGTGTATCCAATCTGAGCCATAGCAAGCTATAATGCAGTGCCAATAATTCATGCCAGCATGAGTCTGCTATCTAACACAAAAACATCCCAATTGAATAGAAATTGGTGTATCTCCATGACTCTTTGACTTACTCAGTGATGGAGCCAGTGTGACCAAAATAGCTACTTAGTGTGGAAGAAAAATATTCTTAGGCTGGCATTGTGTTACTCAGACTTTATGAAGTAATCTTAATAATATGAGGAAATAGATTCTACTGTGCTGTAATACCACCAATTAACCCTGAAGAAGCTCTCTTCCTTGAGCAATATGTGACTTGCCATATCTTGTAGCATGCTATGTGACTTGAACCAAGGTAAACCACTTCTGTCAGTGCGGCGCCCGCCGCCCAATCTGGCTAGTCAAGTATAATTGGAAAAGGGACCTTTACAAGAGAGAATTCATCTAAAGATTATACAATCATATCATTATGTGAAACATTTTCTTAATGAATACAACAGTCAATACCGCAAGCGCACCGCACCACACCAGATCGTGCTTGTGGTGCGGTTGCGTAGTGCTTTTTGGAGCCGCAATGGCAGCACTATACATTGCGGTGCCAGAGCATTGCAACCCGGGCTCAAAAAACCCGTTGCTCAGAAACCCGCACCACAATTGCGGTTGGTTTTTGACGCTTATTAAGGGCAAATATTGTGGAAATAGGGCAATATTGCACATTTTCCGCAATATTTGCCCTACCACTCCGCAAACTTGAGATAGAAAAAAACAATCTCATTGCAGAGTGGTTGCGGAGCGTGATATTGCGCTGAATACGCAACACAATGGAAACAGGTCAAAATCCATTGTGTTGCATAGCGCTTGTGGTGTTGTCACAGTCTTTCTTTTATCATGACCACTGGTAAGAATCTTAGGGATATGACTTGTCAAGTATCAGTGTCATGACTGGCCAGACAAAGCACTGAAGTAATTTGGGAATTAGAAGTACCTCAAGTTCTACCAAACCAGAGTAAGCAAAAAGATCTACTTCCTTATAAAGGAAGGATATATTTCATACTTTAAGCGTAGAATCTTCACAGACAATATAGTCAAACAAAATTGTCACGCTTCAACACCCTCCAAATCCTAATCTCTTGATGACCAGTTGCTCATATTTCCCACCTTTGTTACATATATTGGCAGTGAAGAGGGCTTATATAGGGTCAGTTTAAACTTCTGGCGACATATCCCTCCTAAATATATATATACAATGCTGAAGAGATTGAAAAAGTAGTCTGATGGATGTATGAATTCCAATGGGCAGGCCAGTGTTTCTTTTTGAAAAATAGGAATGAATTCAGAATTCAAGTATTCTATTTCTTGAAGTTCTGGTTTTGTACAAAACCAAACATTACAAATCATGATATGTGGTATGATAATGATCAGATGAGGAAGTTTGTTTAAGGTTATGATTTGAATTGTTGATCAAGAAGAGAGGAACCATGTAATTTATCATACTTTTACAACCTCAACCATGAATTGTAACAGGAGAGTCATCTAGAGTCATACAAGACTGGTTGCTTACTGATAAGATAATAGCTCTGTGACTCGTGAGAGAAGATTGTGCTGTGATGCATATATTCAACGGTGACATCATCCGAATCGAAACTGTATTGGCAGTACACATTGGTTTTGGTATATTAACTCATCTCTCGGTCAGCAAGCAAATCTTTAACTCCCTTCCCCTCGTCTCAAGATCTATCCTTGAACCTCAAAGATTTTACTTTAATTTACTTACAATTCTCGGTCAATAGAAGCGACCTTTACCAAGCTACTCTTTAAATCAGATATACAGATCACAAGATTCAATATGAAGAACGATGAGATAAAGACGGATGTCTTGATTGTGGGGGCTGGACCAGCAGGCCTTATGGCCTCGCTTTGTCTGCGAACGTTCCATTTCGACGTTCTTCATGTTGATGATAGGCCTGAGCCGACTTCAGCAGGAAGAGCAGATGGGATTCAACCGCGAACATTAGAGGTCATTTCTTCTCTTTTGCTTCCAAACCACTCAAGTTGAAGCATTTCTCAAAAATTCTACATGAGGTTGGATCTCAGGACTCATAGAGACTGAAATACAATCTCCATGTTGGTATTCAGACTCATTTGTTCTTTGTGGTGGTGGTTGTAGGTCTTCAGGAATATTGGATCATGTAAAGTGATTCAACAATCCATCGCATCCGCTGGTCCTCCTCCACCTCCGAATTCTGACTGTATTCAAGAGAAACAAACTCCCGATGACGAAGCTTTGTTTATGTTGGGCTTGGCCAAGCAATTGATTGGAGTAGGGGTAAAAGTCTACGAAGTAGCCTTTTGGGTAGGTGCCTATTTTACATGAAATGTCAGTTGAGACAATTTCAGCTTACCTCTTCATTACGTAGGATCCTACGCCTACCAAAGCACTGGCACGTACTTCGAAGGCTCGGTCATGTCCAGATTTTATCGATGTCCAAGACCGCTACACGTTACTGATGCATCAAGGAATTATCGAACGCGAAATGATAAGAGAGATTTCTTCTCGAATGATTTACAATCAACATTATTCCAAGATAAATGGTCCTGAAGAACTAGAAAAGGGAGGAATAGATAGACCTTCAAAATTTGTTAGCTGTCGGGTATCGGATGACGGCGGGGAATATCCGGTAGAGTCTATCATCGAACGGAATGGAATCGAGACGAAAGTTCTTTCAAAGTATTTGATGGGTTGTGATGGTGCAAGGTCTGCCGTAAGACACTCGATAGGTAAAGATCGAGTGGCATTGGTTGGGTCGGAGATTGATGCGTGTTGGGGTGTGATGGATTGTGTAGTTGAATCGGATTTTCGTTTTTGAGTGACTTCCAATGCCTCTTTTCCTGTAATCCTGTTTCAAAGCCCCATCCTCCTCAAATGTGCTGATTCCGAGTTGCTTTATCATTCGGACCGATATTACAGCCGACTTGAAATTGAAATGTATGATCCATTCCCGTCATGCGGGATCGATCATGGTCATCCCTCGGGAACGAAACTTGGTGCGATTTTATGTTCAATTGAAACTCGAACAACCTGATGAGACAGGATCTCAGTCCAACCCTCAATCTCAACCTCAACACTTCCGTTCGTCACAATTTTACATTCATCTCAATTTATTTTCGGTTGTGAGCTTCGTATCTTTTTTTGACGTTATGACTATGTCGGCATCTATACATTCAGAACGCGAAGAAGCAACCCTTGAGATATGTCAAGCTCGGGCACGCAAGATTTTCGAGCCTTATCACCTTGACTTCAAATACGTTGATTGGTTCAGTGTCTATCAAATTGGACAACGGATCTCCAATCGATGTAAGACCTTGACTAAAATCGCAAATCGTGAACTAGACTGAAGTGTTGAGGGTCTGTATGTTATATAGATGTTATTGACCAGAGGATTATCCTTGGTGGTGATGCTGTTCACACTCATAGTCCAAAAGCTGGCCAGGGTGTAAGTGTATGCAATCTTGAATAATCCTTTCTGCATTCATGCCAAAACCAGAAGCTGATTATGATATTTGCACGACCATCATCAAACCTACTGGTCTACACCGACGAAAAAACTGAAAGATGAACATCTCAATGTTAGATATGTACTCACTGGCGTGGAAACTTAATCTGATCGAAAAAGGGGTCGGTGATCGAAAGTTGTTGATCGACTCATATGAAGAAGAAAGACGTGGTGTAGCTGTTGAGCTTCTTGCATTCGATGCAAAGTACTCTTCGCTCTTCTCTGGAAAATCTGGTCAAATTGATGATGAGATCGAGCGTGAAAAAGTGACAGATGTTGATCCGGAAGTATTCATTGAAATGTTCAAGAAAAGTACGTCATTTCCTTTATATGATCTTCTTATTTGCGGCTTACGTATATGCAAACCAAGTCCCAGACCTTATTTTCTAATCAAGACTTTTTTCTGTGATTTCAGACGCTTATTTCACTTCAGGCTGTGGAGCGTTTTATGCGGCAAACGCGCTGAATGTAATGACCTCACGCGAAGGATGGCGTCTGCAAGCAGGTGCGCGACTCCTACCGGGCCGGGTGAAACGTCTTCATGACGGCAACCCAATAAGGATAGAACACGTTATTCCAATGGATGGAACTTTTCGAATCCACATCTTCCTAGGCCGCGCCGGAAAATCGAGATTATCGAGCATCTCCACTAGACTTGATCGCCCAGATGGTTTCTTGAAGCGTTTCTCAACCACTTCTCAAGTCTCTATATTTCATAACAAAGATTCGAATTCGATTTTCAGTTTCTTGGTGATCGGACTTCCTGGAGACTCAAATGATGATTGGGAATTAGTAGAGATTCCTCAAAGACTTAGAGAATTGGTTGGAGACCATCGTTTATTGACTGATGAATTACCAAATTCAATACCTGGTGCTTCAAACCCTTCAGGTTCTATCTCGATCCATCAAAAGTTTGGTAAGCAACATGTAACTCTCATATTAATCAAAGATAGACCAATGGGAGATGATTGACTTATTTTTTTGATGGTTGCTTAAAGGTGTGGATGAGAGTATGGGGGGAATAGTCGTTGTGAGACCTGATGGTGTAGTTGGATGTTTGGTAGATGGCTTGGAAGATCAAAGTTGGGATCTTGTGGACACTTATTTTGATCGATTTCTCATTTCCTCTTAAAATTTTCACTCATATTTGATTTTATTCAAGTTACAACACATCTCATTTTTCGAACATCTTACATCATCTTTGCCTACTTACATATTGACTTTTTCTCTACACTTTTCGTTTTATTATTTAAGCTATAATCAAGAAGTTTATTCGTTGTTGTTGTTTTTTTACTACGCAATCATTAACAAACATAAATTGTATAGTAGCAACATCATAGCTAGCAGATCTTTTTTGCAAGTACACTACGGTCCAATCAGGACATCCGGCGGATGTCCTGTCTCGCGACATCCAACGGAGATCTGCCCGATCTCCGTTGATTATCCTCACAGAGGAGGTCGCGCGGATGAGAGCAAGGACATCGGCGCGATATCCTTGCTTTAGGTTCCGCGCGACGCTGAGAGACCTGATTCAATTGCCAAAACGCATTCAAATATGTAGTTCAAATGGTTTGTACCGCTTTGAATTGGGTTCTGGGTGCAGGAAGCCCAGCCCAGTGCGACCTCTGCTAGCCCAGTGCGACCTATTGTAGTTCTCGATTTGGGGCAATTGGTTACATTGATAAATAGTAAGCAAGCATGAGTTCGTGATTTCATCCATTGGATCATCAACAAGAAGAGTACAAACAGTTGAAAAAAGGAGAAAAACAATAACAAAAAAAAATCGAGTTGAGAATTGTATAAAAGAGATGATTGAGGGATTGTAAATATAAAAGGATGAACCAAGAGACCTGCTCATAAGTGTTGGATTGACTTGTAAAGTGAATGTTAAGATGAAGGGGACAAATTTGTAGGATATGAAGGAACAAACATGGCCATAGAACGAGGCCAAACGAGGCCGAACAGCAAAGGTTGATGAGAAGATCTGAAGGTACAAAAATGATCAAGTTTGAAATTTGTGAAGGGGGAGAAAGAGGAAGAAGCCAACGCACGAGTTCCTCTTATGAGAAGCCCTAGGACCCTGGAGAGCGCTGAGGGAACCAACCGATGAACAGATCATACCGGCCCCGGCCACACGTTTTGTAAATTTCCCGTGAGTGAGGGCAAATTGGGACAGCTTGCCATGTCACACCGCGGGAATTATTAAGTTCAAAACCCAATTGAGCGAAGTTGCGGTGTCCAAGTCCGAAACTTTTCTCAATCATGGATCTTGTTCACAACTCGTTCACAACTTGTTCACAGGTTTCCCTTGAATACGCCCTTGATATCCTTTACTGAGCCCCTTTGTTTGTTCTCAGCCATGAGGATCATGGACAAACTCCCTTTTATGTAGAATCCTTTGATAAATACAACACCGCGTCTGTATTTCTAAAGATTTGTCACAAACAATTGGCATGCTCTCGTGTTGTTGGTTAGCTGCCTATGTACACGATGGTGACCGAACAAGGCTTCCCGGGGCACATGGGAAGTATTGAAATAAATGTATACTTAACAAGAGACCAGAAAGATGATCTCAAGCAAGACACAAGTTGGTGAGTGATTGCAAAGAGACTTTTGTATGTATATAACCCAAAACACGTAGTAAACCAGTTGGTAGGGTAGATCGAGGGCAACTTGTGAACCTAATGTGAACGAGTTGTGAACGAGATTGGCGATTGAGAAAAGTTGCGGACTCAGACACCGCAACTTCTCTCAATCGGGATTCAAACTTATTCATTCCCGCTGTGTCATGGGAGATTGTTTGTAACGTTTGCTATTGATTACATACACTTTCACCTATGTAGCACATGTAATTACGGAGATATCCGGTTGTAACACAAAGTCCGACCAGGTATGAATTATTCTCAAGCCTCGGGGCAAAAAAACCTTAATTGCACTTTTGTGCGGCAACCAGACACGCTGTGGCTTCCAGATGTACACCAGCAGATAGCCTATGTCTTTGCGCATCTTTTGAGCATGTCACATGTAAGGGAATGTGACATGTGGTTTCACAGGATCTTGGTATCCGAAAACCTTGTTTCATTGGTAGGTTCCCTCGGCACTCTCCAGGGTCCTGAAGCCCTTCAACAAAACTTTCTTTCAATCTCAGACCACTGTCAAGGTCTGAGCAAGCTGTGGGACTCGTCTCAGGGTTCTGTCTTATGTGTCAACCGGACTCAAATTGTTGACAGCCAGAACCCAAAAGACATCGCGAGGATATCTTGCAGTCATCCGCGCGATGTCCTTGGGGAGGATGAAGAACAGACATCCTCCCCTGTCAACCATTGACCCGTAGTGTATGTATCGTATCGGACTTTTTTGAACATAACACTAAACTGGATTTGTACCCTCGGATCTTGGAATATGCAAAACGTCCCCGCAAGCCAAAAAAGGTGGCACACCCCAACTCATGGGGTGGGCGCGAGGTTGGAAAAAAAGACGCGCCCGGGTGCGCCGGGATATTGGCCGGGGCGCCAGAGGGCGCAAAAGGCGCGATACTGAAAGACAAAAAGAATTTTTACAATTATGGGCCTGGATATCACCTTCAACTAAAACAAGTATATACACCATACAATTAGGGTACTCAAAGTAAGTATGCACATGTACACTTATGGTACTCAAAACGACTAGGTCCGTGCTACCTTTCTTGAAAACCTGCTTTCAAAATGTTGTTTTTGCGGAGAAAATGAACCGTACAGAACTCCAAAAAAAAAGTTCCAGAGAATTCCCAGGAATTCCCCTGCAAAAAGATCAACTTTGAATCTATGTTTTTCACATTTTTTGAAAAAGGTGGCTTGAACCTAGTGGTTTTGAGTACCATAACTGTGTCTTTGTGGCAGTCGCCCTGCCTTTGAGGCACAAAGGCAACTCGTGTGCGCTGTTTGATGAAGTTGTTTAATTTCTATCCTTGCAACAATAAACTTCAGGATACCTGACATGTGGTACATCTGGCAAAGCATTGTTATTGTTCTGACTATAGTAGTTCAACCTAAAAGTCTACTTATGTGCAATCACAAGCAGTTGTAGGTGGTTTCAATACTTCTGAACCTCACAAATGATATGCACAAAATAGACTCATATGCCCAAAGTGAAATTGAAATTCTAGTGGTCCATATGTATGAAGAGAAGAGGAAGTGTGACAAGGCATGACCCTTCAGGGTATATATGCTAATATGTGGTGTCACCATCATCACATGGAGGAAAGAAAACCTAATCCAATGGCAGAACATCAAATGTTGATGTCCATATTAGTGAGTGCTTGGGTCCTGACGGTTAAGTTGATGAAACCCCAGTTACAAGTGACTGAAGAAAGATAATGACATGATGAACAATTAGAAGATAAAAGGCAAGCATCAAATAAGATTAGCAAGAGATGTGAGATTTTAAAAAGCAAGAACAGGCGGAAGTCTTTGAGGCAGCGCCTGCCGCTGATTATGCTGGTAAAACTAAAATCAAAAGTGGAATACTTCCCAAAGTAACAATTCACTTTTTAAAAATCGACTTATTTCTTCTTAGGATCAGTATTGCTCTCAAAGTCTGAATGTTTGGAACCTTAAAAACCTCGAGATCAACCTTATTTGTCTAGTTCTATCACTTTTCACTCTAGGAGGATCATATAGAACCCAAGTGTATTTCAAAAAGTGAAGTTAGGGCCCGTTTGGCTGGAACCCAAAAACGGTTTTTGGTCAAAAGCACCACCAAAGCCAAAAACCGTTTTTGATCAAGAAATCTTCAATTTTGAAAAACAGCCCTGAGGCTGTTTTTGAGACCAAAAAGTGTTTTTGCCCTTATTTGCCCCTCCATTTCAATCTTTTGTTGACCTATTTGGTCAACTGTTTGGTAAATGAAAAGTCGTTTTTGTGTAACAAATTTTTGGAAAACCAGCCAAACGGGCTACGGGATACAAAGTTAAATCCGGCTAAAAATCCGGCCGTGTGGTCGTGCCCAGATGCCATTTTTTTCTGGCCACAAGTTGAAATTTGGGAAAAAAAAAACAGATCACTGGCCAGTTCTCACGCCGTAATCATCTCATTTCAATTTACCTGAAGCTAGCTCAAGCTTCACTCCTCAATAACGCCACTGATCTAATCATGACTAACTCCGATCTTCAATCGGATTCCACCAACCCTTCTTCCGAAGGGGTTGTCGAAGATCTCTCCGGTTCTCATTCAACACCTGGAACCCTACAAATCGATCCTTCTACTCTCAGTCAAATGCTAACTGGAGCAATCCAACTTGCTCAATCAGGGAATTCTGCGAACAAATCAACCCAGTCTTTGATGCGCTCGAAAAAGCCTCCAGCAAAACCGCGTGCCACACGAACTTCAACAAAAGCTTCTAAGTCAAAACCTGCAGCTAAAGCCAAACATCGTAAATCAAAGGCAAATAAGTCAAAGAAGACCGACAAAACTGAATCTGAAAATGATAATGAGTTGTCTGACAAAAACAAAACACACAAGACTACTGTTCATTGGGATAATGATGATAACGGGGAGGGAAAATCTTCAATGTACTTACTTATCAATTGGCTCACAGATGAAGATAACTTTACTCAATACAAAAGCAATAAAACGGAAAAGAGAGGTTCAGCTGAAGAGATTGAGCAGTACATGATCAATAATCATTCAAGTTCAAGGTAAACCGTGTTTGGCGGCAAAACCTGATTAAACTCCCAATCCCTACTACCAATTTCCAGGTTTACACGTTCACCATGTTTTATCTGATTTCCACGCGCCCCACCCCAAATTTGTTCCCCATTCCTCTCATCAAATCAACTCTTCATCACCTACCAATCTTCACACTATCCTCCCACTTGCCGCAAATCAGACCTCTTGATCCAAGTAGTTATCTATCAATCCACTCAATGCAATTCATCAAAACTTTCAATCCAACAAATCAACTTTGACTTCAAAGTCAAGCTCCAATGATTGTCATTCAATCTTATTCCACTTGACAAACTATCAAAATCAACTTCCAATCCAATTTGGTACACTTCATGAACAAGTTAAGTTATCATCCAATCTTACTAAACCAATTCACAAATAGTTCACTCATTTGATTCTAACTACGGACTACAAACTCTTGGTTGGATCTGGTCAATTTGATAGATTCAAGTAAACAGCCTCTTCAAAACCTGCAAACTAAAAACAAAAAAAGTCATGAATCTTGATGAAGAACATTTTATTGCAAAATGAATTTTAAGATAGCAACGAGAATCCAAATTGTCTTGAAATCAAAGCTATCCTCAGTTTGAAGTCGATACTAAACCCTCAACTTTGACCACTCTGTCTATGATCAAACATAACAAATGATCTAATCTAATAAAATCACTTGCTTCATTCGAGAACAATAGATCTTCAACTTTACCCAAGACAAAGCCTCATCAAAGTCATTTAACTTCAGTCAAACCTCTCTAACTATGTCAACTTCAAGTTACATCTCAACCTTTCAGGCCGATTGAAATGATCATTTGTAGATTTCGTGCAGCCAATACAAAAAAGCCGTAAGCAGCATTGTCAGATTCCTACAAGAATCAAATAGCAACAAAAACTAACTAGGCTTCAAGTTTTTTTGGTTTCTAGATCTTCGGGTTTGACGTCTTTTCATGCTCAGTGCCAATGTTTGGATCATATCTATATTTATCAAAAATTGAATGTAGAAAACCAATTCAACAACAACCATCGAACAACCAACTCTAGAACCAGTTAAGCAAAAAACAAACAAGATATTTCAAACCCTGACTCGATCACTTTCTCCTTGGAATTTAGATTTCATCAAAAGGAGGTTAAAAACAAGTTGAGGGGTGTAGAAACGTGGCTTCCTACATACCACGTGAACCAACAGACGAGGTGTTTTTACCTCCTTCATTCAATTTACTCACTTGGTTCTCTGGTAATATGTCTTGGCTTTATCCTATCACTCATAAAATTTCTTGGTAAGTGCTCTTCTTTCTTCTTCATCAAATCCAAACCCCAAAACAAAACAAAAAACTAATTCTTTCTTTCTTGGTTTGTTTTGTCAATGTAACAGGTTCATTCGAACACCTGCTATTGCTCTCTTAGGTCCTGAATGTTATACACATTTAATTTATGATTTACAAGTAGATCATCTCATTTGTTTGAAATTCGGAATCTCTAGAGCTTTAAGTTTAGCCAGGTTCTGGAATCGTTAAAATCCCTCAAATCTTTAAAATCTTGAAATCTAAATCGGCTCGTGGTCTCAGTTTAAGTAGTTTCATCTTAGATACTTTAGGATTAATCATTATTGTGGGATATAATTATAGACATGATTTTCCTATTTTAACATACGGTCAGTCATCTTCTTTCATTAAAAGTCGAATTGATTTTTTCCCTTTTAAACTGATTCGATGGTTTTCTTTCTTTTTAGAATGAAATAGGTGAAAGTTTTTTATTGTTCATTCAAAACTTAATCATAACCTTTCTAATAATCTCACTATCAAATCAATCAAACTCACCATTCCTATCGATCATATCCGTAATCATACCAATCACAATCCTAACAATTTTGTTAATTCCAAAGTCACCAATCTCATGAAATGTATTACAAGCTTCATTAACTTTAACAATTCCATTATCACTTTCATCTAAACTGCCCCAAATCTTAATCAATTTTCAAAAAAAATCAACCGGTCAATTATCTTCATTTTTAATCGGGCTAGATTGTTTACCACTTTTACTGAAACTGGTGATCTAACTTTACTGTTTAATTTTGGCGCTGGTACTTTACTTAATGGAATTTTATCTTTACAAATGATTTCGTATTGGAAAGATTTGTCTTCAAGTCATTCGACTTCTTATCATCGAGTTCATTCATCTAATTCATTTGAATTATCTCCTTCTACTTCGATCTCTTCTTCCGATACTTCTCCAATTAAAAGATTTAATTCAAGTTCTTCAAATTCACCTCAACCTAGAATCAATTTAAATAAACCAAAACAATGGACCCGTAAAGCAGATTGAACACTTGATCACCATTGTTTCAATTTTGAAATTAAGGTCTCAGTCGGGTGGAATTGGTAGGATTTGATATCTTTTCACTCTGGGTATGAATTATACCATCTATCAATTTGAATTCTGATTCTTTTTTTTGGCTTAGTGTTATCTTGATTTATTTGATGATATTAAATTAAGAAAAAGACTTTGAATACAATCATTGAAGAAATTTGATTAAATGAAACTTGTGAATAACTTTTTTGTTTGTTTAGTAAGAAATTTGAAAGTTGTTTGGAAAGATGTGTAAGTTTGCTTATTATAGGTCCAATTACTTCTTTCATCAGAGGGAAGGCAAACCTTGAAAGATTAAGTCCAGATATTTCATCTTTTTTTGTTTGATTTTTTTGTTTGATTTTTAGACAATTCAATTTAGAAATCAGTACTGCAACAGAAGACAAAGAAAAAGACCATTAACAAAACTTGAACTTATCACCACATTCAATTTACTAATTGATAATCTGGACTCATTTGATTATATCAACAAGTACATTAACTCATCAAAGAAAACAAAAATCATATTTGAAAATCAGTCAAGAATCATCTGATTTAATTGTAAATCAAACTATTTCCACAGGATTGCAATTAGATCTATGACTTTAGATGCAGGTCATCAATCAAAGTCTGATGTTGAAAATGCTGGATTATCATTCAAGTTAAAGGTAAACAGTGTTCGCCGGCAAAACCTGATCAAACTCCCAATTCCTACTAACAATTTCCAGGTTTACACGCTCACAAGATTTGGACTGATTTCCACGCGCCTCACCCCAAATTCATTCCTCGTTCCTCTCATCAAATTAATTCTTCATCACCCCCCAAGTTGGAATCAGGTATGCATTTCTGTCTACATATAACTCATCAACTCCATTCACATACTGATTCATCCTCACAAGTGTGTTCCATAAATCCTGATCTGCCATTCACACTTTTTCTCAAGTTGGCAAAAGACATCCGCATTCTCTTCAAGGATCTCGATCCTGCTGTCAATTCATCATCTGGCCTAATTATTTCATTGCTGCATTCATCACCCACCAGTCTCGATCGTGTGGTCCAACAATGGTCCACAGCCTCAGAAGATCTCATTGTCCATCTCATCTCTAGCTTCGTCTTCTTCTGTCATCTCCCCAGTCCGTTCTCGATGTTGTAGACTTGCTCAAGAGTCTGCTACAAGTTGTGTGGCATCGATTTGGCCGAGAGCCAGTTGAAGAAACAAGAGCAACTTGAAATTAGTGGAGAGGCTGCTCGGCTTATCAAAGAAAATCGATCCTGAACGAAGCTGTACCGTTTGTAAATTGGATGCACTGGAACACAGTGCTCCTACTTCTCGTAGTGTAGTTCAACCGGAACCATCGTTTGAAGAAGTACCAACAAATGGCAATAGTCACTCAAATTAGCTGCTTCAGATCACCCCCGCCACCAATCACGAATTGTACTGATTCGTATCAACACCATCAGAGGAATGAAGGATGTAAGGCGCCGAGAATCGTTGATGCTCAAGAAAGAGTTATTGCATCGTGCCCATAACTCTGAGATTGATATGCTACAATGGAGGGTATGTCTTATTTGCGTGATCCAAACTATCATCTGCTTCATCATCAACTGATCCCTTCAACTTGGACACATTGAAGATTCTTGACCTCCTGGAAGACGTTGTACACAAGTCGCGACTCGCTAGCTCACAAATGCCTCAAAACTGAGATGTCACACACGTCAATTGAACCCAATTGTTTGCCAACCTTGCTGGAGACCTCACAAAAGGAAGCGGACGAGTTCGGAGGACGTCAAAATGAATCTGAAGCGGCAATTTCTGTCAGTTTTATATCAGTCAATTGAGACGTCTTTGCTGCTCAAATGTGCCTTGACATCTGTCAATTCTTTTTTTGTTTACATCATCAGACTGAGATGACGAGTTGCGTTGAGGACTTGGAAAAGAGATTACAAAGCCAAGATGTGGATGTAACACAAATCCAAGCCACAAGAGAAGAAGCCCGATCCGGATCACATGAATTGAGGTCTAGAGATGCAGAGAAGACAAAACAAGTCACACCGATCCGCACACTTGTTACCAGTTGTCCCAATTGCGTTAGTGCTTCGGTTTATGAAGTTTGGAGGCTCATCACGTGAATTGCAGCTGATATTGGGGATAAGGATGTAGACCACTTGGCGACTAATTAAGAAATCAAATTAGTCAAAAGTCTGCCGGCTCGGCTCAAGTATGCATCATATTTGATACACAACATCATAAATACGATTTGGCGCTCATAGTGTTTTCTCTGGTTCCTGTCGTCTTAGGAGTCAGAACAAGTGCAAGTTTACAGTCTCAACTGGAAATATTTACACAAGACTTATCCGGAATCAATGACCCAACGAAACTTATACAATGAGAAGCAGAAGCTCATGCTGGAATTTCTTTGATGCAAAAATGATTGGATGAAGTTGATATTTTAAATTCATGAATTGAAGTTAAAAAAGTCACCAAAGTTCAATGTGCTACTCAGGGATGTGTAAGTGTCATCTTGGCATAACTAAGCGGGTCAGATGAGGAATCTATGTTTGTCAGATACACAGGAGGCTACCATATTATGTACTGAATTGGACTGACTTTCAAATAATAACTAAAGATAAAAAAAACTAAAACTCCTAGATCTCCTAGATCTGAATTGTATCCTCATAATTCCGATAAAGGAATTCATAAAGAACTTAATCGTTCATCTGCTCTAGGCAATGTGATTGGATTCTTGACTATACATAAGCTTTGGATCTTAGGCAAATCTTGAAGCCTTTAGATGTATCAGCATATCTGACAAAGGCTGACCTGATTCAATTTCTAAGCTGGAACCTTATTCCAATTCATTATCCATCAAATCAATTGAATTGTTAGTGTTTGTGGCCTTGAGTAGTTGAAAAGATTTGGAATTATCTTGAAGCTCATAACTTACAAGATCCAAAAAATAAACTACAGATTTCATGTGATGAAAAGATGAAGGTTGTTTTCAATGTTTGAAAAGTTCATATCTTTGCCATGAATGTTTGTCAATCTCTCTCTCTCTTTCCAATCTCTTAGATTATTGATGACTGAACGTTTCATTTTTATTTTGGTGTTGGTGTATAGAAATCACATAATTAAGGCACATTTTTGTGCAGTTGATGAAGTACTTGAACCTAAAAATGAACATGTTCCTTCTGCAAGCTTTCTTTTGATCACTCCCGGTGTAGAACTCCTACGCAGTGTAGCGTAGGCTGAGCCAGAGAAGGTAAGAATCACCGTCAAGGAGGACAGATGAAACTACGGTGCCGAGAGGCTGCCTTCAACCTGAAAAAAATCTACAAAAAAATTACGTGAGACAAATTTTCCACAACCCCGCTCTTACAAGTTTCCCGTAAACCTAATTTACCCCGAAGAAGGATATTCACACTTTCTAAACCCTATTTATCCCTCCCACAATTCAGCCACACACACAGAGTAAAAAAAACAAATTAAAAAAAAACACAACTTGTCCTGGATTTGAACCCAGGTGCAGTCCTTCCCTGTTGGCCCTGACCTGGCCCTGACTCGAGTTCAGATTCTTATAATAAAAAAAAACTGCTTCTAAACACCAAGACACTCGAAGATTCACGCTTAGACCAAACAACTCGGTCACAACACTATCGTACTTAAAAACACTTTAGATCAACTCGATCTCGTCTCTACACACGATGATACCCTTCCTTCAACACCAACAACACCCCCCTTTTATATCTTTCCAATCAATCCAACCACAACTTGGCCTCACAGCCCTTTCTCCCATTCGCTCCGATCGATTCCAATCGATTCCGGCCGCTTCCCACTCTAAAATCATTCTCAGCCGACTCGATTTTGAAGCCTTTGAACTAAGGTATGTTCTTTTCCTCTTCTTTTCTCATCCTTTTCCATTGTTTCTTAGCTAGTGACATCATCTCTTTCTATCTATCTTCTTTAGCTTATCGCACCATCCTTCCCAGTCTAACCCTTCCTTCAACTACTTGTCAATTCCAATTTCGATTTTTAGCTCCTTTCACACTTGAGGTATGTCTTCTTTTAGTTTCATTCTTTCTTCTACTTTCACATTCTATCTTTTACCACACTAATCATTCCTTCTGTTTCTTTCTTTCTACATCTTATACCAACTAGAGTCATCTGATTTTAATTTCGATTTTAGAGCTTGATTGATTACTTTTCTTTTTGACTTCTTGATGAGTTTCAAGTTAGATTGATTAGATTGATTGTTACTGTGTGGTGTATTTTCAATTTTAATTTATTCATTCTTTCAATTTATCATTTGTATCTTGTTCTTGTTGTGTGATATAGTTTTGAAAATGTTTTTTTTGTAATGTTTATGTTGAATTAAAGAAACAAAACTGAAGGTTGATGTTTTAAATGATAAAAAGAAATTCAATAGTTTGTTTAAATCAAACTGATCTAAAGAAATTGAAGAACTGTGAGTTATTAAAAGATTCTTTTAAGAAATCAAGTTATAAGTTTTCAAGAAATGTAAGATGAAATACCAAGTTTAACTGCAATGTGAAATATAATGATATAGTACTGTGTAACTATATATGCTCTCAGGATTTGATTACCACACCGGTTCTTCTCAGATCATTTCAGCTTCACATAACAACTCATCCAAACCCTGAATTTCTTTTGATCTCCTGATTTATTCAACTTCACATCTCTTGCCTAAAACAAAAAGTACCTTGATCAGGTCAAAATATAACAAAGTCAATGGGAGCTTCAACTCGAGCCAGCTTCTATTTCTTAAAACAATCATTTTGATTTCATAGACAACAAGTTACAACAAATAGTCTCTTGAGCCATACTATAATTCAAGTTCTTAATACAAATCATAGACCTGTTGATCTTTGGAGAGTAAGACAAGGTGTAAAATCTATGGGGTGTTATGAAATAGTCAGTTGTATTCCCTTCTGACTACTTGAAGTTTTGAATTTAACTGATTTTTGGTTTGGGGGTGAGCATAGGTTACAGCCCAAAGAAAATGGTCATAGTTGGCTAAAACTTTAGGCTATGATGTGGATAGATCACCAGCTATTGCATTTTGATCAAAATCAACTTATTTCAAGATTTTAGTTCCATTTGATGAATATACGACTAGATATACGTCTAATATTTCTCTTTTGGAAGCTTCTTTGAATAATTTGTCTCCTCTTACTTCTCCTGTTTATGAGAATAGAATTGACAGAGGGAATGAGGATGGGGGAGATAATGGGGGGATTTGACGCAGTCAATTGGTTTGAAAGTTTTTGATAAGTGCTTTTTGTCATTCCTATAACACATCACTTTGAGCATCTTCTTGTTTCTGGTTTGTTGGTCATTCTTATAGATAATGAGCAAGCTATATCAGGCAAAAATGCCCACTAGACTGTCTTGATTCATACTCATACTCATACCCAATCTCTTACCTTTTTGTTCTCTTTCCAAGCCAATACAAATGATGATATTCAGTAATTATAATGGTGTATCTAGAGAAACTGTTCCTTGGGATGAGTGGATATGATTGATCAAAGTGGTGAAGTTAGTTTAATTAGTAAATGATCTATTTCATTTGATTGCGATCTTATTTTGGTTGAGTGGGTTGATAGATTGGTGGGATATATGGATCTGATGAAGATGATTGAAATATCTTATCATGTGATTGTTGTGATAAAAGTACATTCAATTACCCATACCAACTAAAAAAGAAAGAGACTCAAAGAATAATTTTGGGTTTTTTGTTTTCCAAATAGGATTTCATTTACAGTATGCAAGACCAGCATTAGAAAAAGTACCAGAAGGAAATTGGTTTTGTGATAGATGGTTTCAAACAACGATAGATTAAACCACATCCTATACCTCAAAAATCGTTTAAATTACAATCTCCTTTGAGACAACAAACTCAAGAAATTAAGCAAGAAGGTGATGAAGTAGAAGAGGAGTTAGATGAATGGGGTTTGAAAGACTTTCAGGATGAGTTAGCCTTGGAAGATCATATTGAATGTGAGTCTTGGAGACTTAAGTCTCAAGCTGAACCTGTAGAAGTTGAATATGGAGCCAATATTCCTAATGCTAAAAATAGATGGATTTTGAATCATGTACCAACCACTTGTGGGTCTTTACTTAGGTGTATTAAATGAAATATTTCTGCGATGCCTCAGCCTTGATTCATGTTGGGATGGTGTTTTTGACTTTTTATTTGGCATAAGGAAGATCATTATACATTATATGTGTAAGTTTGTACCACCACATTGTATTGAGATTGATTATATCTTAAGTTGATTTTTGCCATTTAGTGTGAATTGCCATCATTGGGGTTATCCAAAGACATGGTATGGTGTACCAGGAAAAGATGATGACAAATTAGAAGATACAATGAAAGAAGAAGCCCTGGAATTATTTGAACAACAACCTGATGTAATGTATCAATCAATCACTTTAATGTCACCAGGTTGAGTAAAAAAGCAGGAGTGAGAACACACTTTTTGTGATCAAAGACCCAATGAATTAGAATTTAAATTTATAAGTGAAAAATAAAGCTTACATGGGGGCAAGAGCTGGTGAGAAGCCAAGATTAGCAAGTATGAGAAGATGGTATATCTGTCCGCAATGTGGTTGTCTGAGTATCATACAGATCATGCACAGAGACTAATGATAATGGCACTTTGTCAGACACTGATACCTACATAGGCAGGAATAACAGCAGCATCAGGCCAATGTGAGCCGTTGATGCGGCGCCCGCCGCCCAGATGTGCTAGTGGCATCTTATGGCGAGATGCGACTTCAATTAAAAAGAAGGTAATCCCATACTTTGTATTTCTTTTTTCATGACTTCAAATCTTTCTCAATACGTTCAAATATGTATTCCCTTGCAGATCGCACGATTAGAAAGCGCTTGGCGTGATGCTAACTCTGTACGTAACCAAACCGGATCTGGAAGCTGGAAAACAGCAACCGAAAGGAAGGCAATCGAGGGCTGGGCGGATGATGATCCAAAATGGCTAAGTACGGAGAAGGCGGCGCTTGGTAAGCATCGATGTTTCTTAGGCATCAATTTTGGTTTACTGAGTCCAATCTTTTTGATAATATAGCACCCATCTTGAAGAAGTGCAAGTATTTCTTTGAGCTGGAGCCTGTTTTTGAGACACGACACGGTAATACAAGGCTGGCCGTGGCTCATAGTTTACTCGACGAGGGCGAAGAACACTTTACTCAAAGCCAGCGGGTTTCACGGGAGCATTCAGTCAAGTCTAATTTAGCTCATCAAGAACATAATAACGACAACGATCTGGAGCAAGACCCTTTTGATCATTCTCTCAAATCTAACTTAGCTCATGAAGATTATTGTTTACATCATGGAGACCTTCTCGGTGACTCAGATGATGATATGTTGCAAATGTTCAACAACAATATCAATGACTTGGACGATATCATTGACTCCAATCCTATCACACCATGTCAACCATCTCAGACCCCACATCAACATCCGATGTCATCCAAATCGATGAAACGTACCTCTTCAAAAGCTTCTTTAGCATCAGCCAGTCAAGGTCCCTCCAGCAAACGTAGCCAAAATCGAAAGTCAGGCTCGGCTGATTCAATTCAAGATCTCATTCAAAATAACCCATTAGATGCGAATTTGGATAATATTCAAGCACCTATCTCACAGCAGGCCAGTCAAGCATTAGATACGTTGTCACGTTTAGCTGGGAATGTGGCTAGCTCTATGTTACCTGAAAAATCTACATTAAATGATGAGGACGCTAAGAGAAAGGCCAAAATTGAACTTGACTTGGCTGATGTTCAATTATCGGGCGAAAGAAAGAAACTTGATGAATATGATTTCAACTTGTCCTCAAAGAAAGAAAGGCATATGCTCAAAATTCAAAACTTCAAAGCCGAGGTCGAACATCAACAAATCACTAGGAATGTGCAACTCATCAGTATGTTGATGAAGGATAACAATCTCTCTCTTCATGATGCAGTGTCAGCAGCTCAAGCAGCACAAGCGATGCAACAATCAAACTCCAGTAAATGATATCTGTGTGAGCTTTTGATGTTTGTCTCTCCAAAAATGCTTACAACCAATCTCACAATCCTTTGCTTGGTTGATAGGTGAATATCTCAATTGATATAAATTGAAGCACCTTCAAAACCCCTATAACATACACAATGGATTCCAAAAATTTGAAAATCGAAAAATGATCAAAAACAAGTAAAAAAAATTTAACATGGTGGATATAAGTGAATGATATATTTCATCATGTTGAAAAAGAAATTAGTTATATGTAGTGAATATCTTTCATTATAAAAAAATTAGGTGAAGTTTATCAAAAATAAAATTAGGTGAAGCTGAACACATGTCTTTTAGAAAAAAGAAAAAATAAACAAAATTGTATATAGGTACTTGATGTGATGTTTTTATTTATCTTGAAAAGAATATGTGTTGAGGTTTCTTATTAAAAAAAAAGTCACCAAAGCAAGTGATGACCGTTGAGAACTCTCAAATTGACACAGTTGCTCATCTCAACCAAACTGAACCCGTCATGAAATCCATTTCATTACCATAATAATCACAAATCAGTTAGAACTAAGTACATTTAATCAAACATGAATTCATCAATCTAAGTCTCTTGACGCTATAAATTCTGCGAAGAGATGGTCCCTTCTTGACTCATCTCTACCAGATCTCATTAGCCATTCATCGTCTCCAAAATCAGGTGGGTTATTTGGTGGTTCTCAAGGTTCAGCCGTGTGTCGAAGTCCGTCAGATATATTAACCAACACTCTTGACCACTCCTCTATAATCAATATGAGGAAGTTATGCAAGATTAAGCAAGCTCTAATCCAGTGATTTGCCCGCATAGCCAATACTGCATCACTGATAACCAATCGAAGTTCCTTCAGTGATTGAAAACGTCCTTTAACCATCCTGTTGCAGTGCTCAATAATAACTCGTACAATACTGATTTCTTTGTTGAAAGCTTCTTCATCACCTCGCAGACAGTGACCTCGACATTGTTTGAGGCATGGTATGATAATTTTGGATACTGTGTATCCCAAATCAGCCAAAAGGTAATCTCCAGGGGAAAAGAATCGTTCTGGAGATTTGAAAAGCTTGATGGAGAACAAATACACAAGGCCATTAAGGAGTCAGATAAAAACAAAGATCAGGTTAATTGGAGATTTGGTATGTACTCACTTGCGAAGACCGAAAAACACGTTGGTCGTGTACACTGCCACACCACCCCAGTTCGTAATAAATCACCCAGCAATGTATATTGCATACCAGCATTGTATTGAGTGCATAAAACATCTTACAAGTCCAATAGTCTTCGGGGGTTTCACGTGGCGCAGTGGCAAGAGGGATGAGTGTTCCATCTACAAACCCCACACACTCTTTAAAGAAAGATTTTGCGCTGATTTGTTCTTTCAGAGCTGACCGACGTTGAGGTGAAGGCCACCGAAGATATGTGGGTTCTAAATCAAGTACTGCGGTGATTAATCGATTGGTCCAATTTTGAACACTCCCTTCTGTGAAGAGTCTGAGAGATCCAAATCGAATGATAATAAAATTCTGATCAGTAAAGAAGTTGAAATTTGAATCAGTCCAATTGTACAAAAACTGTCTCACCAGAGCAATTGAACATCCGTGCAAGGTGATAATGGTCACCACCATTTCCCGAGGTGCCTAAATTCGCCAGACCAACCATTGTCTGCCACCAAACGGGCGCTTGCTTCATTTGTGAGTTGTTATGGAAAACTGGATGCTCTTCAATTACATCAACAAGATGATTGAAAGCAGACTTGGACATTTACGCCTGTCAAGAAATCCAAATAAGTACTTTTGTAAACTCATACAAGATGATATTAAGTACTAGCTTTATGAAGCCATTGCCGCCTTCCTCCAACACTTGCAGAAACCAAGCGTTTCGCAACTCCTTACGACCACGTGAGATGTGGGTGAGAACAAGCCGTTTTTGATTTAGTATTCTGAGGGCATTGTCGAGCACTTCAAGCTCTGTAATTGCACGTCTCCGGAGTTGTTGTCCAAATTGAATAAGTTTGTGGCTCTGATCAATTGCAGGTGTCAACTCGATTAGACCGACTAGATTCAAAAAAACTGCCTTCTTTCGATCCTTGTCGGTAACAGCAAGTTGATGAATTCGTAAGGCTTGAATGATCCAGAAGAAAAATTGAAAACCGGCGAGATTTAGTTGAAAGGTTGCAAGTGAGTCTAGGTTGTTTTGAACATGTGCCTTTCTTGCATGTCGTGCTGTTTGAATGGTCCTCTTGAGGGCCAGTTTGCGAGTAAAACGAGGCATCTGCTATGTGAAGTGGGGGTGGGTTGTTGGAGTGTGTGAAGTGGGTGTGGGACTAGATGTGAGCTGGGTCGGGGGATTCAAAGTTGAAAGAATCCAGACTCAAGTCCAGATTTCAAATTACCGCAAAAATTGAAATTTGGATTTCTGGCCACGCGGCCGGATATTCAGCCGGATTTAACTTTGTATCCCGTATTTGATTACATTTGAAACTATCTATATCATTAGATTCCAAAATAAAACACTAGAAACTGAAAAGTCTTGGTCTTTTTTCTTTCCACTTTTTTATATTTTACTTTTTGTCTTCCATGCTGTTTTCTTCAGTGGAAGATAAAGGAGTGCACTGCCAACATATTTACCTCGGATTGGAAAATCCGAGGTATTATCGAATTACCAACCTCTGACAGAAACTGTCCGAGGTTTTGATCCGAGGCAACTCCCAGCGCAGAAGATTACCTCGGACAAAAACCTTGGACAGACCTTGTCCGAGGTTTTACCTCCGATGATGCCTCGGATTCCGCAACCCGAGGCATCTATGTTGGCAGTGGTGGAACACAATTTACCCAAGATTGAAGAAGCCAATATTGAAGGTGCTGGTTCAAAGTTCCAATCCGTCTCTCAACAAGTTGGGGATTGTAGTGACACCAAATCAAGACAATCCACATTGCCCACCCATTACACGGGATAGATAGTACCAGGCAGTACCCCAGGCTGATTGGCCCAACACTTCCAAAGCTCTCACCTGGACAACATCGCCCGTGCAACTGCCCACACTCCAAAAGAAGGGAAGTTTAAGTATACTACCAGACACTTTTGAGAAGCACCTTGTAAGTAGAGATTACTCTTCAGATCAATCTTAGCTTTTTTAAATTGTCTGTTAAAATTTCCCTTCTTTACTGTTGGAATCATGTCAGACAAAATCTCTTCATCTGCTTGTAGCTGCACCAAATTAAACCGCTACGGCAACCTCATCAAGGACAGAGGACATGCTGATGGCCAAAGGATTGAACCAACTGCCAGTTCCTCAGGACAAATGCAAGGCTCCCAAGGAAGAATCAAGAGCTCCACAAGAGTCTTGAGCACTGCTAAGTCCCTTACTAACACCCCACCTCATCTAACAGGAAGCCTGCCAAAGTTGTCTTCCATTGTAGACAACAGTGGAGCTGGTAAAGGAGGCAAAGTCGCAGAAACCCAAGCTGGCTTACTTTGAATGAGGCGTAGCCCAAGGGATGGACAATTTGAATCCAACCAAGCTCAAGCTAAGCAAGGAATTGGTCTTCAGGTCCTGGAAGAACTGGAAAGTTTTGAACCAGGATGTCTGGACAACAAAAAGATCATGATTTACCTTTTGAGCTCCTTCAGGAACGAGATGACAGAGTGGAATCCAAACAACCTCTTGATTCAGGGCTCCTTCTCCGTAGCAAGGAAGCTGATCAGGTGGGTACCTTGAGGCCTCAAGCGACCAAGTAGGACCAATTCCGAAAGCAATCCACACATTCCCACAACAAGAATCATCACCAATTGGATCACAACACCACAAGAGCTTATGTGAGAGCCCAGGTAATGATGGGTCAAACCCTTCTCCAAGAGGAGGATTCCAACAATTCCAATTGACGCCAAGGAAAGTACAAACCTCAAGGAAAGTAAAAAAAATGTAAGTCTTTCAAATACTCAAGAAAGAGCTATTAAGGGTACTCAAAGTTGAAAGGTAGATTCTGCCTTTTTTGAAACCTGGAATACTAATTTTTTTACAGGGAAAAAGAAACTGATATGTAGCCCAATTTTTTTCACTTTGAGGTCCCCATGCTTACAATTTTTGCTCTCAGAATCATTCACATCAAAACCTCTCAAAACGCCTAAAAATATTATTCTACTTGAGATGATATCAACTGCCACAGCAATCCTCAATGATCTTATTCAATGACTCCAAAGAAGTCTAATCCTCTTGGTTCTGTACCTCAGTTGTGCCTTCCCAATTCAAGATGTGATTTCAATCTGATAACCATACCAAAAAATCATCAAATTCATCATCAGATCCTGGAGTCTCTGCAATCCGGTTTTGCACTTAATGATTCCCGCGGTGTCATACCTGCAATTGTCATTCTTCCCGCTTCCTAGAAATGGAATGCGGGGTATCTCTACGGGCTCTGAACACATCCCATTTTCCATGGGAAGACTAAGATATTTAATGTGGTTTCTGAGCGAAAATTCAGATATAACACAGAAATGATGCCAATATGATACATTTTGGCTCATTGACCAAATTAATTGCGATCGGGTTGCCCACCGGAAAATGGCCTCTTGCTTCATGTATATCTGAGTACTGAATCATATGAGTGATTATCATGCCAGCGAATTCTATATCATATCTCATTGCAAATTTATTACGGTAGGGTGCTTGACGTTAGGCAGAGGACAATACACATAATGGGATACTTGTTGATGTTATTCATGGCAGTCTGTTGTTGACCAACAAAAAGAGTTGGGGTTGCTGAAATGTACCCTGATGATGCTTTGCAAATGATGATTGTAGATGAAACTAACGTAGTAGTACTTGAAGCTGGAAAGAGATAAGGAAGAGAGTAGTGAACGTAGCCACCATTTTGACAGCATAGATTATTGAAGCAAAGCTAATGCAAAGTGATTCCTGATAAAATGCCTTCCTTGATATCCAATGTGAGTTTGGTTTGTACGATACGACATGAAGAGAACAGGAAGGTGAAATGAACAGATGACAAGAGGCCCGGTATAGTACATAGCCAAAACGGTTTGGAGAGACTCAATAGGATACAAGATCCTATGTAAGTTTCTTGTATCACGAGTTAAGTCTAGAACCGCTTGGTTGACCTTTGGGCGAAGTGACTTCCGGCTCCATCTTGATACCATCACTTGCGAATTCGTCTTCATCATCTACAAAGAGATCGTCAATGGGCTTTGGATTGTTCCACGGAGGGCGAACAATTCTTTGGGCATCAAGCCTCTGATAATACGAGTGGAGATAATTGCAATGCATGATTGATCAGTCTATCTGGAGTCGCGGATGGCAGCAGTTAAAGAAAAGAGGGCTTCATTTACGCTGTCATGCATTCGGTTATTGAACGCAAATAACTCGTCTGGAAATCCCTTGTGTTCTCCATCAGAGGTACCAAGAGCATGGTTTGGTTTGTCCATGAGGTATGAGAATGTGTAGCTGGCAGACGCAAACTGAACATCACGGATGGCAAGGAGTGAGTGTTGCAGTCATAATGAAGTCTTGGTAACCTCTTCCAGGCTCACCATAGCCACTAAAGCCAACTGAGCACCACCAAAGCTAATTGGTCAGAATGACGATCCAAGTGAGGCACGTATATCAGTCTAATGAAGTTGAAATATCTTCACGATGAGAGAATAATCAACCGTACACCAGGAAATATCGTGTGCCAAATGTCCCACTACCGAGCAGACACACGGTGATCAAAGCGAAGATAGCATTGTAGATCGGTGTCCGAGCGACTAGCAAACATATGTCCGCAACGTATCGGATGCTTGTACCAGCCAATTGATACGTAAAAAACTGTAGGTTAGCCCCTTGGGTAGTATGTTCAAGAGAGGACAATACTATGTCAACGTACGGATGTCCTGCATGTGTAATGACGGCTTTGATATCATTTGCCCTGTACATATAAACCGCCCTTATGGCTGTCAGACCCAAGTCGCATGCAAGCTGAGAGAAATGTGGAAAGACGTCAATTTGGAGATAATTTAATGCAGCAAAAGATGGTCCGACTGCGTTTCGTTATAAATATGGAATAGGTCTACAAAATCGTTGAGATTGATGCTAACCTCCATAAAAAACATCCTATAGTCCGGTACCAGTCATTTATATAGATGTCAGTGAGCTAAAAGAGGGATCCTCTAGTTCCGAAATCACAAGAGCGTCGAGAGACTTACGCTTGCCAAATTCCTAGTTTGGTTTGCATAACAGAGTAGCTTGTCTGCTGGAAAAAGTTGTACGCTGCAATGCCGGAGGCTAGTCCACTACCCAGGACGAGAAATCCCATGACCATCATAAGGATCAATGGGAGATACAGACCACGCATGCGACTGATGACCTTGAATGCACCATACGAAAAGTGTATGTGATCTGTTCACTCGTTCATAAAGTAAGTCTTCTTGATCGGCTGTGCTCAAAGTAGGATGCACGTTTATGAGCTTCAACTTACTAAGTACCACACACTGCGCTCGTCGTAAACAAGGAAGAAATTTCTGTTGTCAACTTCACGAACCATATGACGCCTATGATTCTCATGTTGAGCTAAAAGGGATAGAAACAAGACAAGCGACGCACTACCCGACATAACACAAAGTGACACCTATTTTTGTTAAGGATTTCTGATTAGTACGCTTCGCAAAATCGATTGCCACGATGGAACTGAGGAGCGGAATAGTGCTTAATGACGGAAATTAGACAATGATTGCACACACCTCAGAAGAGGATATATGCGATCTACGCTATCATAGTCGCCGAAAGACTTAATGAAGTGGTGGTAAAGAGTTGCTCCAAATAGTCTGCGAATCGAAATTCAAAGGTAAAGAGTCAGCTAGGGCAGTCTATTCACCCATCCCAGTAAGGAACACTGACCCTGTGGTGACGAAGGAGAGCGTCATAACGCTCATAATATACGTCTTAAAGGCGATAGACGGATATAGATATAATTCTTGAGCAGCTCGAAGTCCTTCCACGATAGCCATCCCGGCGATCCAAGATGCTGTCATGCCTCCAGCCAACATACCACCTAATGAGTTGAAGAGGAGCTGTTGCTCCATTTCGTCAAACAGCATGGAGAAGTATAGCAAACTTCGAACTGGAAATATAGGACAAATGAGTGTGAGGGTAGGTAGTTGATGCGCACTCTCTTCAAGAAACTTGAGTCGGAGGTAAACTGGTTATTAACGTGACTGGCCAATATGGCACAAATCGAACGAATCGGGGAGCGTTAGGGAGGGAAACTTGACACGCATTTGAAATGATCTGCTCTCTAGCGGATGCTTTATAATTTTATAGAGTGAAGTTCATGGAACGACGACCACTTTCCTCGGTGAAGAAAGAATCTCATAAACTTCCATTGATGTTGACAGCCAGAACCTCGAGACTCGAGAGTGATACAGAGTCACAAGGAGTCACACCGATTGGCTCCATGGATTCCATTCAAGCTGATACAAACTTATCTTTATCAAGCTGAGCTGATTACATAGCGCTAACTACGGTGTGATTTTGTGATTGTAACTACAGCCGTTGTGAGAATTATCGGCTAACTTACAGTCAAACCAGAAAAGCTTGTCACAAATTCCCCGCCAAATTGCTCGAGTTTCGCGAGGTTTCGCGGGCAAAATCGGTCAAGCTTTTCCGATTTGACTGTAACAAAGTCCCTTGGCGAAGACACCTGATTCAACTTGTTGATTGACAGGTGTCGAGCCTCGAGGGACTTTGTTAAGTTAGAATTATCGGTAAGTTTTGAGGTCTTGTGTGTTGCCTGCGAGCGTGGGACTTTGTTAAGTTTACACCAGGGGGTAATGGTCCTCGGCCTCGGCCGGTTCCTGTGACGATTTCAAAGGTTTCGTCACAAGAACCGCCCAGGAAGGTGTGGAACCGGTTTCGCCGAAACCGTTTCGGACACCATTTCACCACCGCTTCTTGAACGAGCTGCATGTCAGCAACCGTTTGAGAACGGCTGCTGAGGCGGTGGTGAAGCGGTTTGTTCGAGAACTGTCAATATATGAACAGTGACCGTATGAAAACGGTCACGGATGAAAGTTATGTTTCAAAAAGACAACTCACCTCAACTCACACTGATTGATTGTGCCACCGATAAGGTCACAATCAATCTGAATCACCATGTGTTGAACAAAGCACTACCTTTAAAAAGGCATTGTCCTTCACAAGCAGCACGTGCAAAAACATCTACATACTCAGATTTTATAATTGTACTTGTGTTGTGATCCGCTTGATCTTGTATCCTTTTAATACTAAGATGTTGGTATATGAACTTCTTTCAAAAACAAACCAAAAACATGTTGTCCTTGCTCATATTGATTTCTTCAATCTTCAAGTTTTGTTCTTCACGCAAGAAAACATTTTTCGTGTGAGTTATACAATTACCTACTTCGTTGACTGATCAAACTCGGTTATCAAACTCAGGATCGAATCCTTGTTTCGTGTACCTCATCCTACCTTTACTTTCCCCCAAAAAAGATTCCTTATCTTTCTCTCTAAAAATTCTGATTTGGTTTACCAATTACTCAATTTCTATTCCCCATTTTTTAAAGTCCTCATCCAATTCCTACCCCTTTCACCTTTCTTGTTTTTTTGAATCTAAGTTTTATGAATTGGTTGACAATTTGAAATCATATTGATTCGACACAAGGGGATCTGGCAGTGTGGTCCCTATGGTGCAGAGGTGGAAGGCTCGGGGATGCTCTGCGCTCATTGGTTTTGAGCCTGTGTTCAAGTCTCCCTTTTTGCAAATTCTACGCCGTACCCTCAGAACGTTCCAGGAACGTTCCAGAACGTTCCAGGCCTCGTTCCAGGGACTGTGTTCAGGGGTCACCGAGGCGGTTTGCTTGCACCGCCAAAAACAGTGATGGGAACCGTGTTTGTGCGGTCCCATCTGAAATCGTCTCAGAAACGACGCAAATAGTTTAAAACCGTGACGGCAGGAAAACGGGTTCAAAAACCGTTTTCTTGCCGTAGGTTTACCCCCTGGTGTATGTGTTGCCCAGATTTAACTTGGGTTTACACCAGCCGGTTCCAGTTTCGTTCCCAAAGTTTCGGTGAATAGAACCGCTCAGGAACCGCTGGAACCGGTGTCGCCGATGCCATTTCGGACACTGTTCCGCGAACCGTTCAGGAACGAGCCGCATGTCAGCCACCGTTTGAGAACGTTGGCTGATGCGGTTGTGAAGTGGTTTCTTTGACACCGGCTGAAATCGGTGTCGAACTGAACAGTAACCGTGTGGAAACGGTCACCGCGGGGCAAAGGCGGTCTTCCCTGTTGGGCGAGACTGAGGTAACTTGCAAAAAAATCTCTGCATCAGCAATGACTGTCGCACCGGCTGGACCAAGACCATTGTTTGCAAGTCTGAGCTCTTCTAAAGGTAAATGGGAAGAAAGAAAAGGGACCATAGAGTCTACACATCTACCACCGAATGCGTTGTAGAAAGTTCAATGATGGTAAGGTTGTTGAGGTTTAAAAGTGAATTGCAAAGTGAGGATAAAGCTTGTGGGATTTCTGGCATAAATCGACCGGAGAAGATGTGGTTATGGTTGCTATAAACCATCTGGGTAGTGATGCCCCTGATTTTAGTGTTTTTTTGGCCACAGGCAGGGGTTCGAGTCCCCGGGGTTCTGTTCTTTTGTTGGTGTGTACCTCGAATACGTTCCTGGAACGGCATGAGCAACCGGAGCCAGCGGTTCCTCCGGTTTCTCACAGAACGCTCCAGGAACCCCTGGTCACGGTTCCACCCACCGTGACCAGAATTGTGCGGTGGTGGGAACCGCCTTTGTGACCGAAACGTTGAAAACGTCTCAGAAAGGTTTCGACTAAATTAAAAGTCTGACGTTTCTGAGCGGCTCCAAAAACGGTTATTGCGCGGTGCGATTTACCCCCTGGTGTACTTAATCTGTGGTCCAAAAGTCAGTTTTTCTCGATCTCACAGGCCTAAACCTTATTTTGGTTCCTTGAATCTTAAGTCTTCATAACTGTCATCTGCTGTCATTGAACACTTCCATGCATCCAATGAAGTTTTGAAAGCTATTAGGCCAGCTTTGCCTTCCGGTTACACCTCATTTACATACCATCCTCCGCCAGCCTCCGGTGGCTACTTCAACACTTCAATTGGACATCCAGGCGTTTTGCTTCCTTAACACCTTTCAATGAAAGTACGTACATGTAAATTCATTCAAGCATTTCAATCACACTGATCTTTTGAACTTCTACTCACACATGCATGTTCTTCTTTGCAAAACTGTTCAATAACACTGATCTTCCAAACTTTTACCCACATAGGCATGGAAATAGAACCAGAATCCGAATTTTTGATGAATCAAAGAAAAGAGGGTACATGCTTGTTTCAATTCAAAGTTTTCAAATATGAATGTGAATGTGTGTTTTGGTCTTTCATTATGAATGAAACACAGATACTGATCTTCTTCAATAAATTTTTCAATCAAAGTTTCATTTCCAAGTTTTCCAACACAACTTTGAATGTTTTTTTTGTCATTTGTTATGAATGGAAACAATGATGATTGTCTGTTTGGTTTGTAAAGAACAGCAAATCAACAAAGATTTGAACAAAGTTCCAGGGCAGAAATCATTTCTTCATTTCATTATCTGATGCCAAACATCTAGATTCTAACAATGTTTTAATTTGTCTTTTGCTCCCCATTACTGACCACAATGACCACTAATAAATGTTGAACTATCATATAACCTCATATGATATCATATCAGAAAACAGGGATCAGTTTCATCACGCCCAAAGGTTTAAATACTGTGCATTTGGCCAATATCTTTCTTCCTCTCCATCAAACTCAGCCAGTAAGAATTAAAAAAATCATTTTTCACTTTATTTCTATTTTTTTCTGACCAATGTGACCTGTGTGATTCCCCAGGTTGAGAAATTGTGTAATCAAAGTCTAGCTGTATGTGACGAGTGCGCGTCTGTTAGGCATACTCTTCACTAAGAAGGTGATGAGAAAGGTAAAGCACGGTCTTCATGTGGTACACCCAAGTGAAGACTACAGCTAGTTGACCTCTAAGAAGAGGATTTGAGGAAGAGAGAAAGGGATTAAGGGCAGTAAAGAGCTAATACGCTCTAACCTCGTGAGACTGCAAGGGGCAGGCTTTACACTTTGGTGAACCAAAGATCCTGAAGGCTACTTTAGACTCCGTATAAGGGAGGAAGCTTTGCTGCTTCACGATTTATTTCTAGAGGATATGATGGCCCAAGGCTCACAGAAATCAATACCAGGGTGCTCAGCAATAGAACCCATGACACTCAAGTTTGGTCTTTAGACTACACAACAGCTAATCACATACTTGAGGATCCTCTCTATAGGATTTCAAGTATAATGTGATTCTGATTTTGTGATGTGTAAAAAGATGTGGGATGAATCAAGGGAAGAAGGGGGGTTTATATATTCACAGGTCAAGCGTCAACTTGTGGTTGGTGTGTGATTCTTGTCTCACTTGTGGTTGGCGCTTGGGTTAGGTTTTTTACATATTTAATACATTCTGTACATGTGTTTATGTGGCTCTTGACACTGAGCCTTGAGATGTACTTATGGATTTATACATATAATATAATATTACATGTGTTACCGTTAGCCTGTGGTCATGTAATCAGGGCTCAGGGCTGACACTGTAGCTCCCTTTTTCCAACCTTTACACCACCTTTACACCACCTCTGTCTTGTTATCAGTGTGTCCATTTCCCCCTTGTTTTCATCTTCTGATTGCATCTTTATCATCATTTGGATTTTGCTCATTTGTCTAATCACTTCTTTATCTTATGATCAGCTTGGCAACATATCAAATCAACAATCTAAGATGTCTAACCAACAATTACAAATCACTGATGTCTTGGTAGCGCCTGCTGATGAAGTTGAAGCCCACATGAATGCACATAAGTCAGTCTCTCTATATGTACAGTCTTCATTTTACTAAACCGAAATCAATTTTGTGTCAGTTGTTGAACCAACTTCTAACAACTCAGCAACAGATACGGTACCGGTATTGTACCTGCAATACCAGTACTGTACCTGAGGAGACAGTACTGCAAAAAGGTAGTACCCAGTACTGTACCCCGGATGAGATACAGTACTGAGTGCCGTAACCCTGGGTTGAGATTGCCTTACACCTCCAAGGCCAGTACCGTACCCCTTCCAAGATGTAGGTACGGTACTGTACCAGTACCTGAATGGCAAATGCCGGTACGGTACAGTGTTGTACCTAGGCTAGTACCACTTGGTACTGTGGCAAGTACCTCTTTGGGACTGTGACAAAGCAGCTATTGTATTGCCAAAAAAACAAAAGAAGACAAAAACAACATGTTGGAAGTGATAAGCAAAAATAAAAATAGTAACAAACAAAATTGCATCAGTGGTGCCACTTGACAACAAGGACAAAGGCTATAAAATCCCTTTCTGCTTCAGTATTATTCAGAATCAGGTATGGTACGGTACAGTACCTGGGTTCCCGGTACTAGTCCAAAGCAGTACCCAGTGTCGTAACTGTGTGTCAGCTACAATGCTGAGTACTGTAGCTGAAAATAAAAATGGGTCTTGACCCCCTCCAGTATTGTACCTGGCGCCAAGTTACGGTACTCCGGGTACAGTACTGAGCAAAACAGATATGGTACGGTACAATACCAGTACCAGTAGGGTATCTGTTGCTGCATTGCTTCTAATCAAACTGGTGAGGATGCGCCAGCCACCTGAAGTCAACAAAACCGACTTTACCTGATTGGTACTGCCAATTGTATCCAATTTGATAAATGAAACAAGATGTTTTTTCAGGCAAAGTTTGAAATCCATGCTGAAAAGGATGTCAAAGTCAACCAGGCCACTTTGATGAAGGTAGCTAGCAGATCTTGCCGCGCTGCAGTTTCTGCGGCGCTACAACCTGATAGATTCCAAAATACTTAATTGAGGAAATGTCCTTGAGCTGGTGAAGTGCTTACTTGGGCAATCTCTAAAAGTTTCAAAGGTATGGGTGGCAATGTTTGTGATGAGTATGGACCTGGCATGTGCCATATGGTACTCTCAAGGTATCTTGCTCCACACTTGAGATGGGTGGGACAGGTTGGGGGCAAGAAAATCTTGCTGGTCAGATATCCTACCTGGCAGGCCTTCATTGATCATTTCCTTGCCAAAGCAACAAAGCACAAGGGTTCAGTGATAATTTTCACTGAAGATGCCAAAGAAAAAGCAAAAAAGTACGCTCAGGTGTGTAATTTTTGTTTATATTCCTTGTTCTTCTTCTTGTTTTCTATTTTGTGTTTCTTGTGTTGTTTCTGACTCATTATGAATCTTGGACCTCCGCGGCTAAAGAGCTGATTGCTTCATCCAGCTGCCCCACTACAGCCAAAGTGCAGGTGGGTGGTCTTACTCAAGAGCTAGAAGTGTGTTTGCCCCTTTTGATTGATTGCCTTGCATCTCTTTCTCTGGCATTGCCTGTGAGCTAGGATGCATGTAAACAAATTCGCCTCCACAAGTTGGTGGCCCAAATGTTCTGTGAACATACTCAAACAGCTAACACTGGAGATGGCACCATCTTAGTCTGCCCTTGGGATGCAAATTTTCTGTACCGATTAACTTACAGTGGGGGGTGGGTCTGGGCAAAAGGTGTGGTAAGTGAAATGATTTGCTACTTTTTGTTATCACCTCAATATTTGCTCTTTTTTTGTTGTACATTCCAGAAATCCTGCATGGCTACACATGAGACCCCTCCCAGAACATATGGATTTCTGGAGATAATGAAGAAGGCCCGTGTATTCCATAAGGCCACCAAAGTCAACAATTGAGTCAAGATGTGCAGCGCTTGACTGCAACTTGACTTATCTCCTACCTTCCACAAATTGGGCTGATCTCACCGGTCCTCTTTTGATCGGCCAGCTCAACTGTTATTTCAAAAACCAAGCGGCTCAAAAAGATCCGCCACTTATGCAGGTTTAACATTGCCCTCTGAAGATGACAAGAAAAAGGTGAAAATTGAATCAATTACGTTCACATTCTTCTATAATTATGGTGTAATATCACTTCTGTCAAATTTCAGAGAAATTGACAGAAAGTTTCGCAGAACAACAGATACCAAAATTTTGGTGCTATCTGTTGTTCTTGAACTTTGTACGCCCCTTGACCAGAACAACAGACATTTTGTTTACAGAAGCATGGGTGCTATCTTCAGTCCTAGTAAAACCTTCTTCTCACAAGTTATTCATTCATACCTACCAATATCATTGCATCCATCAAATTAAAGATGACTTCAACTGGACTAGCTTCAATGTATGATTTTAACCTAAAGGATTAAAAAAATAACTAATTGTTTTGATTGTTTTTGAGTCTTTATCTTTCCAAACAAGTAGAACAAAATGATTGATTGCTTTCAGATAGGCGGTTGCTATTTGCAGCCCACAAGAAAACCATGTAGGCGCTGGCCAAATTACGCCTACATGGGTGTTTCCCACAAAAAAGCGCCTACATTTATGATGTAGGCACTGGAAACCATCCAGAATGACACCTACATGTTAAAAAACCCATGTAGGCGTTATTTGGTTACACCTACATTCAAAAAATGAAATGTAGGTGCTATTTTTGAGCACCTACATGGGAAATTCAATGTAGGCACTCAAAAATTACGCCTATATTTTTCAAAACAAGCGCCTATATTCAATTTTCAGCTCGAATAAGCGCCTACATGCAGTCTTGCATATGTAGGTGCTACAAATTCAGCAACTACAACTCCAGACTGGTCTGACTGGTAATGAAGAATGATTTTCAAGTCAAAATGAGAGTATTGGAAGACAGAAAAAGCAGTTTGGAGTCGAAATGAGTGTACCCGAAGCCGGAAAAAGCAATAAATTATTTCAACTCCAAACTCAGTTTGGAGTCAAGATGAGTGTATTGGAAGCAGAAAAAGCAGTAAATTATTCCAACTCCAAATTGCTATATACGTTGCCTGATATGCTCACTTCAGAGTTGAAAAGAGCATATTCATCTTCCAATACGCTTAACTGCTTTTTCCGTCTTCCAAAACACTCATTTCAACTCCAAGCTGCTTTTTCCATCTTCCGATACACTCATTTCAACTCTGAACTGCTTGTTCCGTCTTCCAATACTCTCATTTTGATTTGAAACTTCTTCATTACCCGTCAGACCATTCTGGAGTTGGAGGTGCTGGATTTGGAGCACCTACATTTGCAAGACTGCATGTAGGCACTTACTTGAGCTGAAAATTGAATGCAGGCGCTCAAAAATAGCGCCTACATTTCAAATTAGATATGTAGGTGCTCAAAAATTCCGCTTACATTCTGAAATTTTGAATGTAGGTGTAACCAAATGACGCCTACATGGGTTGTTTATCATGTAGGCGTCATTTTAGATGGTTTTCAGCGCCTACATCATAAATGTAGGCGCTTTTTTGTGGGAAACACCCACGTAGGCACTGTTTTGGCAGCGCCTACATGGTTTTCGTGTGGGCTGCAAATAGCAATGGCCTTCAGATATCAAACTAACAAAACAATCAATCGCTTCCATTGTCTTTCAATCATCCTCTTTTCAAGTTAGAACAAGATTGTAATCAGTTGTGAGATACTAGCTTCTTTAAGGCTAGTATAATCACTAAGGAAAGTGTATAACCCTGTAGGGATTATGATCTAAAAGGGTTGAAGGCGGAAAAACAAGGTTCTGGCTCTATACTTGTAATAAACAAGTATAGACTGCAGTTAGAGGACCTTTAAAAAAAGGCTTTTCAAGGGATTTGAGAAGGGGCTTCTACTAGTATTTTAGTGGAACCTGTGCACTGAATCTTCAGTGAATTCCCTTAATCAGTTATCTTTCTAACTAGAAATAAAATTATTAAGAACACTAAATTCTTTTATAGTGTTTAGTACTTTAAACTCTGACTAATAGAGGTACCACACAGGTTTAAAGTTTCTTGATCTGACCAAATCCCAATCAGATCAAGCAGCACTCAAGGACTACTTCCTTTATAGTTTGATTCTACAAATGGTAATCAACAACTATGCCAATACTGTGTCCAAGAACAGTAACAATAATGAAGAGAGTTGAGAACCACAATAACAAGATAGGAATCACAAATAACATAGTAAAGTTCACTTTACTTGAAGCTTATAATCTAGTTGGTGATGAGGATTTATTTAGTAAATAAAAAGTGTTAAATTGTGATGTGATGATCCTTACCAATTTTGCATATTCAGAGTTTTTATAGTCTGAAGTTTGAAGATTCTATGCGCACAATTTGTGGTTCCAAGGTTAGGTTTTATTACATATAGGTATAAACCTTTCTGCTTAGTTACATACATGTAACAGCTTTGCCATGTATGTAATCTTAGGATATATAAAAGTTGTGTACCTACACAGTGTTTTACATCAGTTTTACACATGTTACATATGTTAATTCATATGTAATTTGACTCTTGAAACTGAGTCTGAGTTGTAATGATTGTTTTTTAATGATTTCTTATTATTATGTGTCAACATTTAGTACTCTGGTTTAGTACTCAGGGCTGACATCAGTCGCTTTCAAATATCACAGATGGTTTTAAGAATTCTGTTTTGGTCATAGTCATGTCACATATGCTCTTTTCATTTTTAGTTTGTTGTGTGTAGTTGTGTCAAGAAAAGGTTGATCTGATTAGTTTGAAGAAAGGAGATGACAGTTACATTTGTTCTGAGGATACGAAATAAACTTTCAGACCTTCAATGCATAAAAAGAATTAAATCAAATTGCTATCTTGAAAGTGTAGAAAATGCAAAATTCATGGTTGAAGTCAGTTTTCTAATCTTCAAACGGTTGAAGTGAAGAATGAAAATTTAGAAGGCACTGACTTGACCTGATGAAGGTATTATAAGATTAACAAGTTCTTCTGCCTTGGTCAACAGGATCTTTTTTTCTTACCTGATCATCTTGATGAATGTGAGTTTGGTCTGATTGATTCAAGATCACAGATAGTATTTGATTGTTGGTTTGTTTGAGCTGAACAAAGCTTTGATGGTTTTAGGCATTTAAACTTGAACTTCAGACAGAACAACAGAAATAAAATTTTGGTATCTGTCTGTCTGTGCAACCTTCTGTCAGATTCTCTGAAATTTGACAGAAGTGATATTTGTACACCATAAATGAATCTCTCTTCCCACCTAAGTCTGATCATGAATTGAGTCAACTTACCCTTCAAGGCTCTCCCTCTGGTTTGCCCAACACATTCTATCTTTCTTCAGATCCCCGTTCAGCTAGTGCATTTCCTTGGCCTCAAGAATGCAATATAAAAATTAAATGCCCTTGCTATTTGCAGCCCACATAAAATCCATGTAGGCGCTGCCAAAACAGTGCCTACATGGCTTTTTCCCACAAAAAAGCACCTACATTTATGATGTAGGTGCTCAAAACTTTTTAAAATGACGCCTACAGGTCCAAAAACCCATGTAGGCGTCATTTGGCTACGCCTACATGCTAAGAATGAAATGTAGGCGTAATTTGCTTACGCCTACCAATTGTAGGCGCTTTGAATTTACGCCTACATCTCATTTTTTGAATGTAGGCGTAAAATTCAAGCACCTCCATTTAAGATTTGACATGTAGGTGCTTGAATATCACGCCTACATGCGGGGAAATCCATGTAGGCGCTCAAAAATTAAGCCTACATGCAGAAAAAGACATGTAGGCTTAATTTTTGAGCACCTACAAGGCTTTTTTGGGGATGTGGGCGCTTTTTTCAAGCGCCTACATGGATTTTCCTGCATGTAGGTGCTTGAAAAAAGTGCCCACATCTCCAAAAAAGCAATGTAGGCGTCATTTTCAAGGGCCTACATGTGTATTGAGGCGTGGGACTGTGCCTACACATGTGTGGACATGGAACTTTGGTCCAACTTCTCTTCCAGCTTCCAATACTCGCATTTCAAGTCCAAAGTGCATTGCCCGTCTTCTGATACTCTCATTTTGAGTCCAAACTGCTTTGTCTGTCTTCCAATACTCTCATTTTGAGTCCAAACCGCTTTGTCTGTCTTCCAATACTCTCATTTTGAGTCCAAACTGCAGTTTCCGTCTTCCAATACTCTCATTTTGACTGGAAAATTGTTCTTCATTACCTGTCAGACCAGTCTGGAGTTGCAGGTGCTGGATTTGTAGCGCCTACATATGCAAGACTGCACGCACCGTGCCCGTTGGTAGGGCCCCCGGCGTCGGGGGCCTTCTGATTTGTCAATTCCTTTCGACTTTGTTTCGACTTTGTTTCGAACTGCGCACAACGGCGTAGGCGCCAAAAATTCCCAACCTTAGCAGCTCAAACCTGCTAAAGACTGTGCCACTGTTTAGTTTCATCAGTGGTCAGTAATCCTCAGATTCTATTGTATCTCAACATCCACATTCCCACCCTTTCAAATTGATTGAGTCTTGATGAACCCTATCAAGAATATCGCTGTGCCAAGCGAAGACCGCGCGGATGTTCGGTTTCATCTCTCATGTTTATACAAGTATTCTCACTTGAATACGTTCGACTTCAAGTTTGTCCCAATATAAAATTATTTCCGAACGAGCTTTGAGTTAGAGATATTTAAAACATGGAATTCTCAAAATAGGAACGGAACACGGAAATTAAAAAAAGCCCACAAGTATCTATGTACAGAGGCAGGGCAGAAACAACAACACGCGTATTCATTTGAGGAAAGTGTAGGAGGAAAAAGCCCAGAAGTGTAATCATTGGAGAAAAGCGTTACCAGAGAGGATACCAAAGATTTCATGGTCATCTCACATGAACACATCCTTCGAGATGAAAACGCCCTTTCATTTCCAGCTCGATGTTCTCGAAGATCTTCTGGAGCATCTCATGAAATTCATCGTTACAGCCACAGATCTCACATTCATCGTATTCAGAAGAGCTTCCACTGCTGGCGATGTTACCTGTGTCATTGATGAGCCCCTATCAGCCTCTGTCAGCTAGAGTCCCAAAGCAATTCATATGAATAAACCCTTACCCTCATGATATCGAGAAGATCCTGACGAAGTGTCGGTGATGGCATTTTGCCTTTTGCGCTTGGATGGAGGCTCATTTTCTAAAAAGACAGTGTTCGGAATGACAATAAGACCTAATCAATGTTTGAAACAACATCAAGATAGAGCTGGATCATACCATTGATTTCTCCTTCGAAGACTTGATCTGCTTGGCGTTTCTCGCTATCCCTCGCAAAAGTTGGGCTTGAAAGATCATCGTTGAACAAATCCGAAGAATGATTATCCATGGGTTGATCATCTATGGAATGATTATCAGCTGGAATTGGGGGATTTGATATGGACATTAGCTACTAGATCAAAATTATAATTTTAGAATTGAAAACCACGGACCATCTGAATGTCCTGTGAAATTTTGCCTGTTTCGCTTAACTAGAATGATAAAAAAACAATATGTAAGTAAAACTTCATTTCCTCATGTCACGAGTGCTTACATTGGTGTCCACTGTCTCCATATCCACCGTCTCCGGTGTGGGCTCTTTTAACACCTCTTAAAGTAGAAGATGTTGGTGTATCGGTAGCTTTTGGATAGATTAGACATTCCCAAAACGTAAAGAAAACTTTAGAAAATCAAAACAAAGCCCGAGAGACGAAGAAGAATAAACTGACTATCAGTGTAATTCTCGTTAATTAACTGACTTTCAGGATAATTCTCGTCATCTTGGTGAGTAAGACTGATTGGAGTGATTAATGGGTCTATTATCGTCGGATCACTGTGGGGATTGTAAAGTTCGCTCAAATCGTCCAAGATGGCCACAGTTGATGGGTCAATTTCGACTGGAATTCAAAGTGAGATTATCTACTAAACAATTGGGCGAATAAGAATTGAGCATCAAGATAACTCACCTGGATCAATGTCGAAGCTGTTGACGGAAACCAAGTTATCCTCAATACCAAAAATATCCATCTCTGAAGGAAATTGAGATAGGGAAAGGGTTTGAACAGGAATTTTTGTAGTGAAGATGGTACAGTAGTTCAATAATCAAGATGCGAGTCAACAGAACACAGTATATTATGTGAGTCAAGAGAGCACCGTATAACAATAATCAAGATGTGATTAAAGAGAAATTGATATCAAGAAGCAAGTTGCTTGACTGATCAATTTCTCTTCTCGAAGCGCTGAATTTAACTGGGTGGAGTCTTTCCTCGAATGATGAAACTCGCGAAAAACCCTGAACGAAACTCGCGAAAAACCTTGAACAAAGGTAAAGCAAGCACGGTAAAGTGGGGTCCTCTCTCAAAAGAAGAAGCTCTTACGAAATAAGCTTAACTGGCCGACAGGCATCTCGAGGTGGAGTCTTCTCTCAAGACGAGAAGCCTACAAAAAACCTTGAACAAAGGTAAAGCAAAAATAAAGAGGAATCCCAGGGTGGGGTCGTCTCAAAACAAAAACCTTAAAAAAAGTCTTTAACAAAGGTAAAGTAAAGATAGTAAACTGGCCGAACCCAAAGTGGGGTCTTCTCTGGTCTTCTCTCAAAACAAAAAAGTTACGAAAAGTCCAAGAACACAGAGGCTTAGAACAATGAACGACGACGGGAAGCAGCTATGTGATGCTGTTCGTAGAGATCAATTCAATTTCTTCAAAGGTTATGCTTGTAATACTCTCCTTTCCGGAGTTACGAAGGAATGCAACCGGCGAGATGTCTTGAAAGATAGACGCGGGATAGACGCGGCCAGATCGAAAGATGATATGTATGAGTATATTGTGATCTTTTGTTCAGTCTTATTTGACTCTTTGTGATGTTTCACTCATCCATCCAAACTCTTACCACAATTCTGACGATATACATTATCAGAATGACAATGAAGCTTCAACAGTAGCAGAAGGTCCAATTCAGATACAAAAGGTGAATAGTTTGCTACTTTGCCTTCTCCAAGTTTGAGACTTCATTATTTTCCTCCTTCAAGACTTCACTACTTTCCGACTTTTGTGTATAACGATTTCAAATTCTTACTTTTGAGAAGTTCACTTGTACTTTGCTTCCTTCATAACTTCTGTCTGATTAAATTTCCTTCAATTAGACAATTTGCTACTTTGATAGTTTGCTACTTTTCTTCCGACTTTTGTTTGTAACAGATTCAACTATTGAGAAGTCTAATAAATTACTCATAACCTTTCATATTTCATTTCCTTTGGATAATTTGCTACTTTGATAGTTTGCTACTTTTCTTCCGAATTTTTAGAACTTTTATAAATTACTCATTCATTACTTTCATATACAAAAAATCATCATCATAGAACTCTAGCTACTGTTTATCTACATTCGATCCTCCACTATCCTCCTTACAGTGAGTCTGTGATCATGATCTCTTTTCCCTAAAGCTCACTGACCCCTGTCTACTTCTGTTTCACAGTATAAGCCCTATCAACAACTATGGCTGTGAAGATTTATGGTCACGTCACTGTGACGAAAAACGTTCGTAAGAGTATCAGAACCCGAAAGTGTAGATGTAAAGGTGCTCAAACACGTACTCGACATCAAACCCCCACACCCAAAAGATCTCCACTTCCATCAATCCATCAAGACTGGAAGTTCTGGAAAAGGATCACGACCCTTCCTAAACATCTCCTCAGAATTCTCTCGTCAGACTGTAACCTTTGGGCGTATTCAACTACTCGACCAATGCTGATGACTATAATCCGGCACTTCAATCCTGGTCATCGCATCCGACAGTGTATCTTGAAGGCTGAGTTGATTGAGATGTTTGAGGAACTTGTGGCACAAAAGTATGGCCTTTTCTATGGTATTTGATAGTCAGTAGTTTCCTGCTTCTCTTCCCAAGACTGTGATTTCGACTTACACTACAAAAAATATAATGTTTTCCGGGCAGAACGCGACCGCTCAGTATCAAAAAACCCGAGTGTTTTTTTT